ACGTTAATGTGGAATACATAAATATTTTATATTTTAATTTCATATAATCGAGATGAGATAAGACACTCATGATTACTTTAAAAATGTGTCCACAAATATCATGTAACTTCAATAACTGCACATTCGTCAAATTAATCCTATTACGTTAAATAAATCACAGCAGCTTGTTTTAATTTAATTTAACCTAACCAATTATATTATATGCTCTTCATTAAAATGTGTAAAACTGTAGGTCGCACATTTAATACGATTAATATACTACGTAATGAAATGTAATACACTAATGAAATAATTAAATATTATTTTTTAAAGCATGATACAATCCAGGCAGCATACGCTTGTGTTTACATTCGATATCCAAAGACACTGAGAGGTTAGGTTAGGTTAGATCAAACAAATTTATCGTTTAACAGTTGGCAGCCCTACGAGATAGGCTGCCCTACGAGATGTGCAGCACTGCGCGCGCGTACAAAATAAATTTGAAATCGCTTCTAGCCGAACCATCTTCACGCGATCGACTTTATTTGAATTGCACGGCATCGCATCAAATTATGATGCGGCGCCGATTTGTTCGAACGTAATTCGAGACATCGCGATGCTGTATAAGCGTCGAATGAGCATGAATTGTCACGCAAATATGATAAATCAAATCTACTCACCGTTCACCGGCTGTTCCACAGGCCGCTCCACTCGCTCGCCTCGGGACGTCCCATTCCGATCTTGATGCACACGATATCATCAACGCGAACGCGCGACACTTTATTCAGCACTCCCGATACTCGCTCGCATCCGATAATCATCAAGGACGCGAATAACGCGACGCAACTTCGCTCCATCTTCGCGATGACGCCATCACTGAATATCGTCAAAAATCGCTGTCGCGCGTTTCCATCGACACACTATAAAAGTCGCGCGATCATCCTTGGACACTTTCGACGCTCGTTCACTCGCGATATTCGTTTAAAAACGGTTAAAAGACGCGAAAAATGCGGACGTACGACGATCCGTGTAACTGCGTACGACTCCGAGTCACGTATGACGCCTATGACGTAGCAATGACGCGTATGACGTCACGCGTCAACATGGCGGCCGAACCACTGCGCATTCGTTTCTGCTCATGGCCATTCCTGCGCGCAACGTTCGCACAACTTTGATTTCTGAAATATTGTTTACGGCTTTAATTAATAGCACATAATGATGAATATATAAAGATGGAATCAATTAATCATATTGGTCATATATGTAGACTTGCCTGAAGGAAGAGTAAAAATTGAGAGATATTTTTAATTTTTTTTTTTAATAAAAAATGGAAATGTCTATTCATAGGCTTGTTCTTCTTTTTCTCTTTTGTGCAATTTGGATTCAATATATAACGTAGAAAATTTATAGTATATTGCATTTATTTTTATATATTCACAACTATAATATTCGCGCGATCATTTTTTGACATTTACAATACTCGTGTACCTTGTTCTCGATGTTCATTTTTAAAGGAATAAAGAGAATTATATATAAATGTAAATAAATTGTCCGAAGAGAGAAAAAATTGAGGGATATTTTTAGTTTTTTTAGTAAAGGTTGGAAATGTCTATTCATGATAGAAATGCAAAGAAAGAAAATTATTATGTTTAAAATAATAATTTCATATGAAATACAAAATTAAAAGTTACATTATAGAACTTTACTTTCTAAAAGCGTAATAAAACAATCAAATAGTAGACAGAGAAAAGACTAATTGTAAAAGAAAAAAAGTTGTTAACTTAACTAAACCATTTAATTAAATTATTATCTTTTTAACTGGAATATTTAACTATTATAAATCTAACATGACATTTATTTAACTTAAATATTTCAATTTTTTTAATTTAAAAAATAATAATTTAGTTAAACGGTTTAGTTGAATTAACAAAAACTTTTTTTTCTCAATGTACGTGTGTGTGTGAGACTTTAAAAATATACTTGGATATAAATACACTTATATTATTAAACAATTAATACATCTCGTGAGGTTTAATAAATAATTAAACTGTGTACACTGAGAAAAAAAGTTGTTAACTTAACTAAGCCATTTAACTAAATTATTATCTTTTTAATTGGAATATTTAACTATTATAAATCTAACATAACATTTATTTAACTTAAATATTTCGATATTTCAATTAAAAAAAAAATAATTTAGTTAAACGGTTTAGTCGAGTTAACAACTTTTTTTCTCAGTGTACGTGAGTGAGTGTGTGTGTGTGTGTGTGTGTGTGTGTGTGTGTGTGTGTGTGTGTGTGTGACTTTAAAAATATACTTGTATATAAATACAATTCTCACATACGTCACAGTGCGCGTTAAATATTTCGGCAGCGAGCTAACACGTCATTCGATCTTGTGACGTCATTTGGCCTTGTGACGTAGCGCGCTATTGTTTACATACGCGACGACCTCCCCTCATTCGCACGGCGACATTCCAACGGGAGAAAGTAGCGATACGGACCGCTCCGTATTATCGAATTCTTTTCCTAAAGGTACGATCGCGATTAGATCGAAATATAATAATTCGAATATAACTATTACAAATGACAAATAATTAACTCTTATAATAAATGCAATTGTAGCGACGATAAATTCATCGAAACGCGATCTTTCATTATTGCAAATAAAAATTGAAGCGAAAGGGGCAAAAATTACAAATTTTCTCGCAATATTCTTTGATTATCGAACTTTACGAATAATAATTATTTCTTTAACATTGCGTAGAATGAAATTCGATTTCGCCCGATGTTTTAAACTTTCCTAAACTGCATGCATATATATCATATTAATTAAACGATTGCTGTATCATCAATTTACATTACTTTAATATTTTAATCTTATGATTCGCGTTATTATGCATATATTATACATCAACAAATAGAAATAGTTAATTAGTGTAAGAATCGAATAGTGCATGATTTTGGCTTCGTTTAAAAATCGAGCGAATTATTGTAATTTTTGTGTTCCTCTCTTGCAATAATAATAAAATAATAATAATATTATAAAAATACGTATCTCGTATGATTATTTTGCGATCGGGAGTGCCAAGTGCGAAGTGCAAAGTGTCTCGCGATCGTTTCTGTATATGACTGAAATATAATTAACTGAAATATAATTGTTTGTTCGCGAGTGAATACGTGACTGCTACGAGGAAACAACAAAGGATGAAACAACAAAAGAAAAGGACATCTGGAAAAGTATCGGACAGTAAGAAAGCAGGGAGAGAGCCTGAAGCAGCCAGAGACATGCGGTGAGTAATTTATAAAAATTATTTATTATTTATTATTTATATACACTATTTTTAAAATAGATATATATTGCTTATTATTTTATTATCGTTTTATTTTTCGATCATTTAAATATATAATTCGGATTGAAATGCAGTAAAACAATCGAATCGTAGATCTAAATAATTAACTTAACAAAAAGATACATAAAAGATATATTAGTTCTTTTAATAAATAATATTAGTTCTTTTAATAAATAATATCGTATACTTAATCTATATAAAAATGGAATATTATCTATTTATTTCTAAATATTAAATACTTTAAATTTAATAGTTATATATTTTGTAAAATTTAATTATAAAAGAATCTTTAAGATATTCCAAAAGAAATGAAGAACTTTTCTCAACGTAGAAAAAGTTAATTAAAAACAAATTTATATTTAATTATTATAATTAATTTGTATTTAATTTTATTGGAATTTTATTATTAATTTTATTGCATTGTCAAACTCTACGCGATCTCTGTAATGATAGCTATTCAGGAAATAGGTACAGTGAAATAATCAATTATTACCGCTGAAAAGAGGCAATAATATACTTTTAAATCTAATTTAAACTTTTGATAAACGATATAAAATTTTTTTATTATGATGAGAAATCTTTATTAAAGATCATAATTGCAAATAAAAATGGAAATAACTTCACGAAGTTTATTAATCGTTTAATAAATAATTAATAAATAATTAATCCGTGTACGTGTACATGTACGTGTACGTGTACGTGTACGTGTACGTGTGTGTGTGTGTGTGTGTGTGTGTGTGTGTGCGTGTGTGACTTTAAAGATGTGTTTAATAAATAATTAATCCGTGTGTACGTATACGTGTACGTGTGTGTACGTGTGTGTGTGTGTGTGTGTGTGTGTGTGTGTGACTTTAAAGATGTGTGTTTAATAAATAATTAATCCGTGTGTACGTGTACGTGTGTGTGTGTGTGTGTGTGTGACTTTAAAGATGTGTGTTTAATAAATAATTAATCCGTGTGTACGTGTACGTGTGTGTGTGTGTGTGTGTGTGACTTTAAAGGTATACTTATATATAAATACACTTGTATATAACTTTAAAAATATATATTTCCGTTATGTTAATTATCCGATTTTTATTCGATCGTTTTATTGCGCGTTCTGAATCAAATTATATTTAGATCAAATGATATCAGAGAGAATATTTATTTATTATATTAGAATTCTAAATGTGTGTGTGTGTGTGTGTGTGTGTGTGTGTGTGTGTGTGTACACATATATATTAGGATAGAAACGAAATAGAAATAGAAGAATAATCATTGTTCGTAAAGATTGCAACAAAGTAATAATTTATAATTTTGATTCCTATCGTATAATCGAGTATCATATTTCGAGAGCAATCAACTATTTATTAATAATAAAATTGTATATAACTTACGAATATATTTCACTTATTCCGGACGTTAATATCGCGACAACGACGAATAAACTTTTCAAAAAAGTTCAATTCAACTATTTCATATATGAGACAGTTCTACCAATCACTGATACAAAAAACTCGTCAATTGACCAGTTGGTGAAACTGTTTCAGTCCTGAGTATTTTCTTAAAAGAGCTGTTGGCGCACATACATGCGTGTATTATGTTTACGCGCGTCACGCGTTCGAACGAACCTTGACATTCTCGCGGGTAAAGTCACTAGATTAACAAAGTAATACCGCAATTTTGATCTCAATAAGATAAGATGGAGCAAAATGGCGTCCGATAGTGCACACTTTGTGTAGCTATCTATACTAAGTGCAATTTTTCTAACCTTGATCCTGGTTTATCCTGTGTCCTGTTGTGTGTGAGGTGAAAAAACTCCAGTTTATCTTATTGAGATCAAAATTGCGGTACTTTGTTAATCTAGTGACTTTACAATACGCCCGTAGCAAGGTGGCTCTCAAGTTTATCTCTGGCATAGAAGCAAAATAAAAAAAAATTTTTAGTATTGCTTAAAAAGGTATATATGAACATATAATGCTTCATTCTCTTAACTTATATGTGCTTGTATGACTTTAAGCCATTTGAATGTAAACATTTACATTCAAATTTGCGTAATTTCATCAGTAATGAAATAAATGAAGTCTTCAAATTTCAAAGACCATCTGTAACAAATTAATATTATTGAAGTTACATTTTAAATCTTTTTATTACAGCCATCCAGTATGGATACCAAAACTCTTCCAAGTCTTTTGAGTTTGAAAGTGGCCCCTCCATCAGAGTTACAAAATCAGAATGTTGATGATGGAATTGGAGAAGGAGACGGTAATTCTGTCAAGCTTCCAGCTGCTTTGGAGCAAGCCTTGGCATTTAAAACAGAAAGGGCTAAAGAAATAGGCAGCGATCCTGACAACGTTATTTCTGTAAGTAAATCACCAAGAGATGATAGCGAGGATACTGCTCAGATAGAAGATGCTATAACGGAACTGGAACAAAAATCAGAGAAAATAGAATCCAAATCGAGCAAGACAAAGAAGAAGAAAAAGTCAAAGAGGAAGAGACACATTGCGGAAAAGAAAGATGCCGAACAAAAGAAGGACAATATAGAGGATCCTAAGAGTAAAGAAGATTTGCCAGAAATAGAATATATACAAGAAATACCGAGCATAAATGATTTAGAACCAATGTACCGTCAATTTGCTAGAGTCTTTGAAGCATTTAAACTTGTCGAACCGGAACCGAGTCTGAACGACGCGGCTGACAAGGGTGAACCTATCGGGCAGTATCCACCAGTGACAAATATACAAACCGCTGGCACTGGTGTACCGAGTAAGGTGCCGTTGTTAGATGATTTTGATGACGATGCAAATCAACAACAACAACAACAGGGTACTGGTGAGAATGGTGCTCCGCGGCTGTCTAAGAGAAAACTCAAGAGGCTTACACGGCTAAGCGTAGCGGAATTGAAGCAACTGGTAGGTCGTCCGGATGTTGTGGAAATGCACGATGTTACCGCGCGAGATCCGAAGCTGCTTGTACAATTGAAAGCGCATCGAAACACGGTTCCGGTACCGAGGCATTGGTGCTTCAAACGGAAGTATCTTCAGGGCAAACGCGGTATAGAGAAACCACCGTTTGATCTACCAGACTTCATAAAACGCACCGGTATCACGGAGATGAGAGCGAGTCTACAAGAGCGCGACGACACGCGTACGCTGAAGGCGAAGATGCGGGAACGAGCGAGGCCCAAGTTGGGTAAAATTGATATAGATTATCAGAAGCTGCACGACGCCTTCTTCAAATGGCAAACAAAGCCGCGCATGACGATTCACGGCGATCTTTACTACGAGGGCAAGGAATTTGAGACGCGCTTAAAGGAGAAAAAACCGGGCGAATTGTCGGATGAGTTGCGTACAGCACTGGGCATGCCAGTTGGACCGAATTGTCAGAAAGTACCTCCACCGTGGCTCATAGCTATGCAACGTTACGGCCCACCGCCGAGTTACCCGAACCTCAAGATACCCGGTTTAAACGCACCCATTCCGGAGGGTTGCGCTTTCGGTTATCATGCAGGTGGATGGGGAAAACCGCCGGTGGATGAAACGGGTAGACCACTCTACGGAGACGTGTTCGGCGTGTCCCGTACATCCGGCGCAGATGCTATGGACGAGGAGATAGATCGGGGAATGTGGGGCGAGCCGGAATCGGAGTCATCGGGCGATGAGGATGAGGACGAGGACGCCGAGGAGGGCGGCGAAGGCGGCGAGGGCGAAGGAAAGGACGGAGACGACGATGGCAGCGGATTGGTCACACCCGGTGCCGAGGGCTTAATCACGCCGAGTGGCATCACGTCGATCCCAGCAGGTCTGGAGACTCCAGAGACCATTGAACTGCGGAAGAAGAAGATAGAGAGCGAGATGGAGGGCGGCGATACGCCCGCGTTGTATACGGTATTGCAGGAACGTCGTACGGAAGGTCTGGGCGCCAGTATGATGGGCAGCACGCACGTGTATGATATGACGGGGGCGGCGGGTGGCCAGGCACCGCCATCCGTAATCGCTGCACGTCGCGGCGGAATCAGCGGTAGCGCGAGCGATGCTCGTGCGGAGAAGGACGGGGCGGTAGAGCTGACGCTGGATCCTAGCGAGTTGGACCTTGATTCCGAAGCGATGGCATCCAGATACGAGGAGACGATGAGATCGAGGCAAGCGCATCTCAGGAGGGAAGATCTATCTGATATGCTGCAAGATCATGTACAACGGCAAAAGGTATACGTATTATTAGTTGTACATGTATCGCAAGTAAATATATTATACATGTATATAATTATATAAATAGAATTGTTTAAATAAAATTGTTTTTTTGATGCCAATTACTTTTGTTTTTTATGTTTCAGAGTAAACGCAAACGTCAGCAAATCCAGGACACGAAAACATCTAAAAAATATAAGGAATTTAAATTTTAAGTGTATTATTTTTGCACATGACTAAATGTATTATATAAGAATGAAGTTGTTTGGTAGCATAAGATTGGATTTATTGTAATGCACTACTTTAATAAGAGATCATAAAACATTATTTAATAATGATTCCAATTTTGTATTTATAAGCTATATGATCGATCGCGCGATAATAAATCGAATCAGTATGTATATTTACAATATATGCATTGACGCCAGTGATGGATTAGTAATACACTAAAAGCTGAATATTTTTCAATAAATATATAATCGTCTTTTTTATGTAATACAAGAATGACTACATATTATATAAAAATGCAGTCTCTCATCAGATACATGCACATAGGTATACCTATTCAATGTTTTAATTATGTGTATATTTCGTTATAATGACAATATAGCATATATGGATAATTAAGTCACATACAGTTCATTAATATAATGTACTGTTATCTCGACATTTTTTGTATTAAATTTTATTGCAATATATAATATATTCTCAAATTAATCGTCTACAAACAAGTGGGTGTTTAAAATGCACGATTAAAACATCCTATTCAAACTTTGGTTCAACAAAATAATAATTTAATTATAATTCTTATTATAATTTTATATACACATATATAAAAAAATTATACAATATACTTCTTTTGAGGTAGTAAGTTGACTCGAAATCGTTTTAAATCCAATTCCATAAGTAGATACGAAAGACATCGCAATAATACAAAAAGACAAGGAAGAGAAAGAGCGATAATAAATTTACTTATAGCGCTACCGATGTCGAGCCAACTGCCGTATGGTGTGACATAGTACATTAAAGGTAACGATAAGCAATCACCTAAAAAAAGAACTGCTAAATAAATAGGTTTCCTGTATTCTGATTCTAGTGAATAACTCGCGCATCCGACTAATATTAAAGGAATACTAAGTTTGAAAAGAATCAACGATGTCATTAGAAACGGAGAGAAAATTGTGACAAAGTGACGCGTCCAAGATGGATCGAACGAACTAATGCTCGCCATGTTACCTGTGCCGAAGAAACACAATAATATGTACAACATCTGTAAGATGTTAAGGATATATATAATATGACAATAGCTGTCCCTCACACAAATCAAAACAAAAATATTAGAAAATTAAAGATAAATTTTAATATTTTCCTAGAAAGAAATGTATAAGAAAGTAATATAAGATTACTTATTATCATGATATTAATTTAACAATCTATTTATTAATCTACTTTATATCTGTTTTATATTTATTTTATAATTAATTAAAAATGTCAGTTATAAATATCACCAACTCTTCAGAGAAATTTTTATAATATTCAAAAAGTCTTAAAAGGATACGAAAAACGCTGCCTGGATCAAGTCTTTTGTAATAGTTTGTTGTGTATTTCCTGACCTCTTTGAAATGACTTGCAACCAATAAAATAAATTGATTGTAAGTATAATGAAGAAGAGTGGCTCGTAAGATGCAGACAATAATGTAAGAGGGCAGAAAAATCCAAACATTATACCCAGCATCCTTCTCTTGTTTTCTGTTGGATAGGACCAAATACATAATGGTGTAGTCAGTAAAATAATCCACGATATATAATATCGACCATCGAGAAATTTTGTGTAAACGAGACTCGTAATGATTATACGTAAAATTTCCATTGTTTTCCGATTCTGCGATGTCTCATTGATAATTATCATCGACATTGCTACAAAAATGCCAATTATCCTGAAAGAAAGACTTAAGTCAATAAAAAAATTCATTATTAAAAATCAATTTATATTACAAGTAAAAGAAAATAAAGCAATTCGACTTTTAAGCAATCTCTAATATTTTCTTTTCTATTAAAATATTTTTAAATGACTTTTAATGATGCAATTGTTTATAATATAGACATACACAATATAAACACGTGGATATGGCTCCACGACTGGCAATAAAGGAAACACACATAGTGCTATCGACGTCCAAATCATAGGTGGTGATACATTTTTCGACTTTGCTATTCGTATCAATATAAGAGATAATATTCCTATGCTGAGCGCAAATCTATATGTCAGTCCAACAAATAGTATTACTAATAATAATAATGTGCCTCCAATATCTATGAAAAGTTTCTTCTTGCTTCTCTTTATAAATACAGGCGTCGATGTAATTATTTTAACAATAGCAAACCATACAGATATTATAGCAAAGGCTGCATAGCATAGTAATCTCCAGTTGTTATAATTGGATACTGTATACACAATAAATTAAATATATTACATAAAATATTTTTTATAAATAAAAGCATTGATCTAAAAAAAATTTGACAACAAAAAATAATATATCTTATGCATTAACTTAATTACATTTTAGAATACAGTTTAAAAATAAACTTCTTACCTGTATATCTGATTAATATTATTATCAATAGACTTGCGAATCCAATGTTTACAAATTGTAATATAGAGATTCGGAAACATCGACGTTTTGTTCCAGTTATTTTCAAGAATAATATAACTATCCAGCCAAGCCACATTATTGATAGATATATCAAAAATCGTATTCGCTGATATTGTCTGAAATATGACAAGGCTTCCTTGCCAAAACTAATTGCTTCTTCACTTTCTCGAATTCCATCTATTATACTTCCTTTACCAATATGTTCTTCGATTTTACGAATTCTGCTATTTAATTGCGTTTCTCGCCAATCGATACTCGTCTCACCATTTATAGCACGATTTCCCATTACTTGATATGCAAGTTGTTTTACATTGTTGAGTAAAGAATACCCAATATATTTCTGATAATTTATATCAAAATATTGCCATGGCAGTGCACCCTAAGAGAATATTTCATGTAAATATTTTAAAAAACATATTAAAACAATAGTTATATAATATATAGGTATATATATAAAATGCAAATTTACTTCGTTATTTACAGGAATAGGAATTCCTATCAAAGATGCTATCAAGGGAGCTATACTCGCTTGTTCAATATCTTGGCGAAAGCCAGATTTTATTCCAGCTCCCCAAACAATTAATGGTGTTTCAGTTTCGTATGGCAATCCACTTCCATGGGATCCCCAATCAGTCATTCCATGATCTGCCGTGAATACATAAGTAGTGGTATCTTTCCCAAAGAAGTTTTCTGTCATATTCACAATCTCTTCAATTCTCATATCGACATAGTTCATATTTTCGATATATTCCCTACTCGAAATTTCTCTTTTATTAATAAATTTGCACTTTGTATTTTAAAACATTATAACAATCTGCAACAAATTGTTAATACCTGGAATGTGGCTTTTTAGCATGTCCTAGAGTGTCACATCCAAGTAAATGAAAAAATAAAATGATACCATTCTGATTTTTCAACATTTTAGCTACTGAGGACTGCAACCATTCCAAATAAGCATTAAACACCCATGAATCCAAGCGCATTGTTTGATTATTCAAGTTTGAGTCAAAATCTTGCCATGCAGATGGATAACTTTTTCCATGAACGTTTCGTTTGCTACCTGCCTTTTCAAAATTTTAATGTAAGTATAAATAATAAGAAAGATTGATAATACTATTCTTTCTAGAATACCTTTTGTGAATATTGGAATTATATCTGGACTGCCCCAAGCCCAAGTAGCATAGCTTTGATTAAAGACAGAATCAAAATCCACTGGATTTTCTTGCCATCCCTTAAAAATAGCACTGGGATCCTCATATAATCCTGCTGCAATTGCGACATGTCCTGGTCTTGATTCTGTGGGTACTCTTGTATGAGATATTCCCCAAACACCCTTATTCTTTATTACATCTCTATAAAATAGATTTGATTAAGTAAAATATACAAAAAAATATTAAGAAATATAAAATATAAATTATTTCATTATTAATATATCAAAATTTATATAAACTATAATAATATATAAATTTTTAATTAATACTAAAATAAATAAAATTAAATTGATCTTTGATAAGAATATTAATATATTTTAATAAAAAATTAATTAAACAAAATTAAGAGCAAAAACAGAATATTGTTCCATTTTTGAAGAATGAAAAGTATTGAAGAATACCTGAGATAAGGTGGTGACTTATCTATGAACGTCTGAAACCTCAGACCGTCCGCTACAAAAAGTAATACTCTTTTAGCTGGTGAGCCACTCGGTGCTGGTACAACTGGCAATTCTTTAATGATAGGCGAATGAAAATTAACGTCAAGCACACCCCATAATAAAATCAAGTGTACAATTAATCCCCATAGACTGAACAAATAATTATTGTCTGTCTCGAGCCATTGCTTATTTTTTTTTCTTTCTGGATTAGACAATTGACAATTCGCGATATCGAGTAACTTTTTCACGAACATTTTTAATAATTTTCGAAATTTCTTAAAATTTTCTTCTTTCTTTCTTTGAATTTTAATGGTCACCTCTGATCTAGGAGCGATCAGTATATTCAGGCCAACAACTGGTTAACGGTGCCACTGTCGAAGCCCTTGAGAGAGGGAGAAACTCAAAAATTTTATTAAAACAAAAATCTGCGCGAAGAACACGCAGGAACACATCCGCTCCCGTCCAAAGGCGGTAACGGACTCTCTTAAAATTTTGAGACAACATAAATATACATAGTCATGTCAGAGAACAGAAAGAAAACTGAGAGATGTCATGGCCTGCTTTTAGATGATCCCTGAAAGCGATATTCCCTCTATGGACATTGAAAACGTGGGCATGAATTACGAAGCCAAACCACGAATGTTCTCAGAGGGTAACATCTTTATTCTCATGGAATGTAGAACAAAGATAAAATGATAAAGCATCTAGAGCGTCTTTCCGACCGCAGCTACAATCACGTGACATATGCATAGTGAAAGAACATAAGAGGGAAATTCCAATTTACGGAGAACACAGTTAGTTTAGAATAGCGAGGTTTTGGAGATCTTTTGTTTGTGTACATATTCTAATTAATCCGATATCAACAATTTAGGTTGGAAACATGCAAATTCCACAAGTACTATAAACTTTCTCGAAAGATACACATATAGAGTAATACATACGTAAAAAAATATAATTACGTAAGAAGTAAATTTTTTAGGAATAACGATTCTAAGAATTTTACGTTTTTTACAAATGCAAAAATTTGATGTAATTTTTCTGCAAATTTTATTATCACTTATCTACATTTTATTTTAAAATTACAGGCAGATGTATATATTTATGCATTTTTATATATTAGCTAAAACTCTTTGCACTGAGGACTAGTGCAATTGCAATTTAAAAATAAATTACAATATACAATCTAGCAGAAAATCAATATATACATTTTGTTATGAATGCTTCTTTTTTAATACCAGCACCTCAGTTTATATCTCAGATTATTTTTCCATGATGTATAAGTCAGAGAGAGGTATAAAACGTTGTTTAACTAATTTTATCCGCTTTCAATTCTTTATAATAGATTACCGCACGCTCTATCAATGATCTGCTTTCACTTTCTGTATTGATTTCTGTTGTACTTTGATTATCTTTATTAGGATTCTTCTTTGTATTATCCTCTAAACTATTATTACTGTTACTTATTTGTTGCAATACAGGTTCAGGTAACTTATGCTTTGTATGCCTGGCCAAGTCACTGATTGCAGTTTGCAGATAATGAATTCGAGCTTCCTGTTGTAATGTAGTATTGTACAATGCCTGAATATCATCTGTAAACTTTTGTATCTGCATCTGACGGACCTCTTCTTTCTTTGCCTCTTTCGTAACTTGTCTATTATACTCCAATATTACACATCCACCAGCTACGCCGAAAATAATCATTTCACTCATCAAACTAGCGCCCAAGTCAATAGCCATAGATTCATTCAGTTTTGCCACTTTTGTAGGCTTACCAAGATTCATGATATACATCTTTGCTTTTACTTCTGCCCAATGATAAACTATAAACAATTTACAATTATACTTTATAATAGAGTTTATAAGTAGAATAAACAAATACTTACATTGAGCAGGTGGCATAATAATATAAGTCCTGAAAATCGCATGACTTTTTGCTTGATTGACAAGAAACTTGGCTAAAGGTTTGCTGATTTGTTTGATAAAGAGTACACCTAATTTAAGAGCTGGAAATACGCCGACCGGCATTTTCGCCGATTAATAGGGTAGCAGTTTCTCATATGCTTCCCCGATATTCTAAAAGATTTTTGATAAAAACGAAAAAAAATTAGAAAGAGCACCTTGAATGTTAAATTCGGAATATTGGATTCATCAAGTAGTATTTAATGTCGCGTTATTTTGTAATCATCGAATCATCACCTACTTAGGAAATTCTCTCGGAATATGATATCACGATTATAATTAATATCATAACAGATCCCTATTTCGATTCTCTTTGAGCGCTGTAAAACATTGTTTCTTAGTTAGAAGGATAAATCACGTGCAAATCTCATGATTGAGAGACACATTTTCGCGAATAATAAATCCTTTCACACAAGTGCAGTGGATTGTGATCGACAAGAGATAGCAACCTTCGTAGGCTGATCACAGCTGATCACCGATTGACCCCGGAATACTGTGAAGTAGTCGCGAAATAGGAGATCGCGTTGCCAAATGATCAAAAAATAATTTCCCTAGAAGAAATTGTCTCCATACACATTCACACATACTCGCCATACACACATATCACACGCACATTGTACGACTTTCATAAGATTCATGTTTCATGTTAGTGTTAATTGGTCCAAGTTTATACTGACAAATCACTGATTAATTGAACTGATTAATTGTATATAAAAATGACGTATCACTGTATTCATACGTGTGTCATTGTGGAAACCCGAGGAGCCCGCAACTTCGGATTTTTCGCGCGCCCGTGACATTTTTATACCTTCACAGGTGAGAGGAAATGGATGCGATATCTGGCCTCTGGGTCGTGTGTTTCTCGTAATCAAAATTAGTATTTATTTAACGTAGTGAATAATCGAGTTAGAAATGTGCGTTGACAGACTTCTCTTTACTTACGGAAGGAAAAAGCACGCGAATTTTTTGGAAATTCAAGATAATCGCTTTCCTGTTAGTATAGCAATAATTGAATGAAAATAGTATAAAATAATATATATATATAAATAATATAGATACATTTTCATATATTTTACAAATGGATACAAACGTGATACATTTTTATATGCAAATAAAGATATGCTTAATAGTAAAGAATAATCATTAGATTTCTTGTTGAAAAGGAAAATATTTCCGGATAAATCGTATTGCGAAATACATTTACGTTTTTTCTATATCAAATCCTTTTTTTACTTCATTCGAAGATAATTTATGACAGATAGTCCCTGCACAGAGTAACTCAACGTAACGAATGTAATCATTAATTATTCAACGTCATAATGAATATTCCTAATTATTTGTAACTTGCAATCATTTGCATTCAATTATTCTTGATTTTTTAGTGTATAAGAGAAAAATAATAAGTTTTTATATGAGATATTTAAAAGTATAAGCTTTTCGTTCGATTCGCAATATGTGACTTAACCTCTATTTTTAATGTGCATTAATTTGATGTTGAATTAGATCGGAGCCATTTGTTAAACAATAAAGACTAAAAAACGTCATAAAAAAATCATTAATTTTTCAACTGCATTTATCAACTGTAGTAATTGTACTTTGATCATCTGATTACAGATCTGAGCTTCTGTTTGATGATAATGTCAATAATACATTACATTGGATGTACACTTTATATATAGGTAAAAGTTTAAGCTTTACACAATGTGGTCCTTCTTTTCAAGAGACCCTGCCAAGGATTTCCCGTATGATATCGGGGAACCTATTTCAGGCTTGGAAAACAAGAGTATCTGGACACTACACAGAGCTAAGAGAAAGGTAATTCAACTAGATATAGTAGAAATGATACTTTTTTTTGTAGGACCATTATATAATTTACAATAGTAAATTTATTCATTTTTGGCAAAATTTTTATTTTATAATTTTATGTGTGTGTGGGTGTGTGTGTATATATATGTGTATACATATATATATATAATGAAAATATTATTTTTGTATTTTCTACAGGGCACCATAACAGGTGAAGATGTTTCAGTTTTTGTCTTTGACATTAAAAATGGAGGAGAGCAACAATTGGATATTGTTCGCTCATCTGTAAAGAGGCTTAAAACACTTAGGCATCCAAGTATACTTGCGTATCTTGATAGTCTTGAGGTATAAGTTGTATCAATTTACAGTAATTTAGTATTATAATTTTCTGTAAACAAAGATGTAATCTATACTTCTTTGTGTATTGCTTTAGACTGATAAAATGGTTTACTTAGCCACAGAACGTGTGGAGCCATTATATAATCGTTTGACACAGAAATGCAATTCTGAAAATGACTCCAAGAAAGAATTATACTTTTCCTGGGGTATATTTCAAATTACAGTATGTATAAATGAATATCGCATATTATATTAGAAATTTCTAAACAATATACATTGAACAGGAAAAATCTGTAATACATATTACTTCGATTTGATGGCAGAGGGCACTTAACTTCTTAAATAATGATGGGAATTTACGGCATAATAATGTCAATCTGTGGACAGTGTTTGTTAACGAAGAAAGCGGTGAATGGAAACTCGGCGGTGTTGAGTATATGACGGCTGTGGATTCATTATACAATTTCTTACCTTCAACTTTCCAAGTGTACCAGCCGCCAGAGGCTAAAGAAAATACAAAACCAATAACTAAATGGTAAATAATTATATTAATTTTATCAAAATTTCAAGGAACATCTATAAACATATAGTACAATTTAATACAATATGGGCGTTTATACAAATATATACATTTAGATTTTTTAAGCATAAAACTGATAAATAAAAAAAACAATAGCTCAGTCGACATGTGGGGACTCGGCTGTTTAATCTGGGAAACGTACAATGGCACTTTTAATATCAACTCGCAACTTAAAATTACAGGTCAAGTAAGTTATTCATTCATTTTATATTATATTTTATTATTGAAACATAATATTTATTATAAGCCAATTTTCTTCTTTTTTAAGATTCCGAAGCAAATAACAGCAGTATATCGAGAATTAACGGGAGCTAATCCGGAAGGAAGACCAAATCCTGCAGATGTGATAGCACGTTGCCGCAGTAACGGAGGATTCTTCAAAAACGATCTCGTTGACGCTCTATTGTTCCTGGAAGAGATTCAGATGAAGGAGAGGGGTGAGAAAATTCGATTTTTCTCGCAATTGGCCACGCAGTTGGATTCGTTTCCCGATGGTGTCGGCAGATACAAGATTTTACCGCAATTACTGGCGGCCTTTGAATTCGGAGATGCCGGAAGTGCAGTCTTGCCGCCGTTGTTACAATTAGGCTCTCAATTACCCGATGCTGAATATCAGCGTCGAGTAGTGCCGTGCGTCGTCAAGTTGTTTGCGTCAAATGATAGAGCAACAAGATTACGGTTATTGCAACAATTGGATCGATTCATTGATCATCTGCAATCAGCAACTGTTAATGAAGCTATCTTTCCTCATGTAAGGAAAATACATTGGACGTTAATAAACTATAAATTTTATATAGATCCTGTATTGCTTTTGGATTTTATAAAAATTTGTGATAATGATAAATTTAAAAAAGTTAAATGTTTCAAAGAAAACAGTTCACTTTTCTATCGATTTTATCGGAACAATCAATATATGTAATATGAAAAATTTTCATCAATATATATGTAGTTAATAATTTAAAAAAAATAGTAATCAAATTTAATAATAATTTTCATTATTACATACGTATACAACAATTATATTATTATATCATATATTTAATTTTTATATATATTTTTTGCAGGTTGCAAACGGTTTTCTCGATACAAATCCGGCGATCAAGGAAGAAACGATAAGATCAGTCGTACATTTAGCGCCAAAATTAGATTATAATAATCTTAATGTCGAGACTTTAAAACATTTCGTAAAGCTTCAGTCAAAGGATGAACACGGCAGTATTCGCACGAATACAACAGTTTGCCTTGGAAAAATTGCTCAACATCTTCATCCTCAAATAAGACAGAAGGTAACATTGATTTTAATCTTTTGCTTACTTGATTGAGAAAATATTTTACTTTTATTTTTTTAACAAATATCTGTCTCTTATTCAAATTATTTTATTTTTGGATTTTTGTATCAATCAGAATAGATTTCTCACATATATATATATATATTTATTTTATTTTTATTTTTTTATTTTATGTGATAACATCCCTTCAATATTCATAAACATATATTATAATTTTATTTATAATTAATAAAATAATATAATTTAATAAATATATACAGACACTTGAAATGATATATTGTTATTAAGCTAATTTATAAACGTAATTTTAGGTATTGCTTAGCGTATTTATCCGCGGAACTCGCGATTCCTTTCCGCCAGCCAGAATTGCAAGTATACTGGCTTTGGCTGCAACGCAGCAATACTTTCTGCTGCAGGAAGTTGCAAATCGCATTCTACCAGCTTTGTGTCCACTTACTACAGACGTGGACAAAGGTGTACGAGACAATGCATTCCGAACCATCCGAGGTTTTTTATCGAAGCTCGAAACAGTTTCTGAAGATCCTGGGCTTCGCGAATCGATGGGTAAGTATATATGTGTATGTTTTCTTAAGCATATATTAGCCTATTTTTGTAAAATTATATATTAATAGAAAAATATTTGATTCTTCGATATATTTTAAAAACTTTTATATATTATATTATATATTTAATATTTACGTTTTATGAAAGCTTTAGTAAATATTAATTGCGCTGTAGTGTTTAATAATCATTAATTGTGAATGCTTTAAAAGGAAGTAAAAATACCAAGACTAATATTGTTATTGAAATATGTTTGCAGAAGCGGATGTGAATACTGCTACCCCCAGCCTCAGTAACGCCGCAGCAACATGGGCTGGATGGGCCGTTACTGCGGTCACGGCAAAATTCTATCGCAGTCAATCTGATACGCCAAAATCTTCAAATGCCCATAATACATCTAGGATCTTGTTAAATAAACCTGCTTCCTTAGGTTCGCATTGATCCTCTTTATCGTTTATTATTGTCGTCGTATTCGCGTGTGCTATTCATATAATCTCTATTCTGAAATTTTATTATGAAAGAAGGAATATAATTTTTTCTATGTATATACATCTCTCTTATTTAATTACTTTAGAGCAAGCTAGTAGCTCTCAAAGCAGCGCCAGCACAACTGCCACAACGAGCAGCGCGACAAGCATGACTTCCCTCGATCCCGATCACGAACACGATACACAAAATACTCAAAATACGAATTCTGATTGCGATTGGGATTGCTGGGATGCCGATAATTGGGGAGATATGGAGCAGCAGCCCGCCGCTACGTCATCAGTATCATTGAATCCAGCTAATAGTAAATCACCGTCCGGCCATTCCCCTAAGACTAATGAACAGTGGACCAGCCTTGAAGAAGAACCGGTTTGTGTCTTGATATTTTATGACATTTCTCTGCCTGCTGAATTAAGATTCTATAAAAATATCTTCATCTGATTCAATTCAATTCACATTCAATTTGATATATTAATGTAAACAATAATGTAAATTATATAATTAAATAGTAATATTTATATATATATATATATATATATATATATACTATTATATAAATATTATATATATTATTAAATAGTTTATTTTTTATTATATACACGTATTAATTAGTATATTTTTTTATAAAGATATTTCAATATTTAAATTATATCTAATATTATAAATAAAATGCATCAAAATAACGTTTAAATCAAATTTTTATTAAAGAAAAGTTTATTTTTTCAAATTAATGTAAGAAAGAGAGGAGATAAAAATTTTGAGACTTTCTACTGATATGAATATATTAGGCGCAAAATAAAGTAATCTTCTAGATATCTTCATTATTAATAATGCCATAAATCTGTATATTACAGGAAGAGGAAACAATCCAAGGTGTTCAAGAAAAAAATGATTCTTCCGAAGTAGGATGGGATGAATCGGAGTTTCAACCTCTTGAAGATGTTCAGCACTTAGAGCAACCAAGTATATTTAGTTTTATTCTTAAAGTAACATTTATAACACATATCAATCTTTTCATTTATTTATTAAAAAAATATTTTTTGAATGCATAGACGTTCCTAGTGGGAATAATAAATTTGAAGAAGCAAGGAGGAAACGAGAAGAGCGTAAATTAGCTAGGCAAAGACAGATGGAAGCAAAACGAGCAGTGAAATTACGAGCCAATCCAACTGCGAAAAAAATTTAAGTAATTACACGCCATATATATATTAATTATTCTATTGTACATTAAGTAAATTAAATATTACAAATAATACAATGAAAGTATTTTCTGTATTTATAACTTATCTGATGTAAGAAAGAAGTTTATCCAAAAAAATGTTTTCTACATTATTTATTAACATTATATGCATGAAAAAATATACAATGTTAAGTAAAAATTAATTATTTTATTTAACAATTACTTTAACTTTTTACAATCTATACAATCTGTCACAATATATTTTATACATATATAGGACAAATTTTTTTTATAGACATTCTGTAGTATTAATTTAAATATAAAACATATAATATAAAATTTGATACATTTTCAATTGCATAAACGTTAGTAGTATATTATAAAAAGTTTTTCCTTATAAAAAAATATGATTCTTTTCTTTTTAATAACTAATGAGATTTTTTTTCTTGGAAGAAATCAATTGTAGTATTTTAATCTTGTCTCACTTCCAAAACTAATATCTTCAAGAATATAAATAATTTTTTTTGTATTTTCTATTCATAAACGTCAAATATTTGACAAGTATTTTGAGTGGTAAATTGGCATTATTGTCAGATAAGATAACTCAATTACTATAAATGCGATTGTTCAGTAGCGTTTTCATAGTGAAAACGCATATTAAGATAATTTGAATTGTTAATTTCTTGTTTAAAACCTATGTTTTCATAGAATGGCACTAGATGATCTTTGCAATCCAAAGACAACTTATAACAGTGAAAATAGCGTGCTAATTGCATTATTATTGTCACCACTAGTTTCCCCAATGATTTACCTCTATAATTATTGTTAACCACTACATCTTCCAAACGTCCTCTCTGTAAAGAGATATATCCATATAATATTATATACTATCATTGCTTCAGAAGGAATTTGAGAATAGAAAAGATAATTACATACCAAGCTACAATTATGAATAAACTTCTGCTCTACAACTAATGTTGCACATGCAATTACTTTTCCAGAATTTGTGTCCTCAATAACTACAACATAGTAACCGCCAGTACTCTTCATGCTGTAGAATCTATCTAAATAATGTGAGAATAAGAAAATAGAATGTGCGCTATACATTATTTTCATTATTTGTTAAAACTCTTAGTCTTTGATTATAAACTTACTTAAGAATTGTTCCTTGGTAACATTTCCAACATCTGTCAATTGAGATAAGAGAACTAAAAAACCTATCAAATTTAAATATAATTTAAATAAATAAATAATTTAAATATGTATTAATATGTAAGAAAATATAGCCAAACTAATTTTATTAAATTTACCTGTGTCATAATCTGTGCTTCTTAATGGTCTTATGAGCAATCCAACGACAGGCGATATCGACAATCTATCTAATATAGCAGGGTTGAAAAGATTAATTTCATCTTCTTCGGTGGTTTTTCCCTGAAACAATAAAAATAATGCAGTTTCCTTAATAATATCGTACAATCTTATACGATTAAAGCGAATAAGTAGTACGACCTTTCGCCTTATTACCAGCTTTTTATTCGCATATACGCAAACGATTTAAGATCTTTTTTATTATATAATTATATATGATTTTTAATTATCGAAAAGCGATAACACTGAAGATTCTAAATTACATGTAAGATTTCATCCTGGTAAAATTAAATTGCGAAAAAACATTAACGTATGGACGTCGTACCTGCGTTTCGTTCATGCTTGTTGCACGCTCTTTCAAGGTCCACGTTTACTTGACAATCCGTATCGCTGCGTACGGGCTTTAATCGCATCTGCTCGCGTTAACTCGCATTTGACCTGACACAACCTGTTCGCACGTGTATGTATTTGTTGGCAAGCGAGTCAGGCTTCCTGCGCATGCGCGGCAACACTGATATGTATTCGTATATTCATAGGCTGCGTTCATTTTGACGGTTTTAGCGCTGAAAGCATCGCTCTATCTTTGTTTGATATTCGACGTGCAATAAAGACAGAATGATGCTCACAGCGCATGAGCGTGGAAAGCGAACGCAGCCATAGCTAACCTATGTCTAACTTTTGTCATGGTCATTTGGCCTTTGTTGACGTAGAAACTGGAGTGAAAGCAAAGAGGTGTTGTGTGATAAGATTAATATTTTCGATAATAATGTATGAAAGTAACGATGTACAATAGTGTTTGTCATTCAGAAAATAAAATTCGACAAGGATATTGTGTAAAAATGCTTTACACGATGATCGAATAGTATAATTTGAGCACTCTCTGTCGTTTTAGCATACAAGTATGTAATAATTTTATATATGATAAATTGTGTCATATGTGAGTACAAATATAATCTTATTATAATACACAGATCTCAATCATGAGCCCCAATAAAAGAAAGATATTCGCGTCAGATACATCTGATGAAGATGACAGTTTTAAACATCGACGTAGTTCTCTGAGAGTTAATCTAAGTTATTGCGAAAATTTAACGGATTCTGGCAATGGATCCCTGTGGAGGACAGAAATCGAGGCCGATGAAAAAAGGATAGATACAACGCGAGTTAGTAACAGATTATCGAGAAGTAAAAGAAATGATATATGCAGAAAGAAATATCAACTTGATTCTGATAATGAAGAAGATTTACAAGTTAAAAATGATACAAGTAAATTTCTTATAAATAAGGATACTAATGTATCTCTTCCCATCAAAAAAGGAATACAATTAAAACAACTTACTGTAAAGTTGGAGAACATTAACATTAAGGAAAAGACTCTTGAAGCAAATTGTAAACGTTTGAAAGATGCAATTTTAAATAAAACTAAAGAGATATTCAATAGAGAGAGTGAACTTTCCAAAAGAACTGCAATGATATTGAAGAATGAAGAAAATCATTTTGCAGATATACATAATGCAATTGAGAATAAATCTACCATTATACTAGATACAATGACCAATCATCAATTAAGAAATAAAGCAAACATAGAACATAAAAAATGTACTAACATTGTAAGTAATCAACAGACAGACAATCAATATTCCAATATTGTCACTACACCGACAAGCAGCAACAAATTAAATAGTTCCAAGAGAGTTATAGATAAATCTAGATTGTCTCAAAGACAGTTATTTGCAGAAGAAGACAAAAAAATAAAGGAACAAGCAAAGTGTAGAATTATAGAGGACATTGTTTTGAAAGAAAAATTTCCATTATTCTCCCTCAGGCAGGCAGATCAAGATGGCAGTCCTATATTAAGTGGCAGTAACAGAAGACATAGCTTGTTAAGAACAAAATCTAAATATTCACAAAATCAATCTGAAAACCATAATACTACATTCTCAACTATACATTCTCAGAATATAGGAGCACCCATTGTTTCCTCTACTTTCAATGAAAATATTATGACAGATGAAAACAAAAATAACAGCCCTTATAATGAAACGAACAGTGACATAGATACATCTTGTGCCATACGTACAACGAATAAAGTAATATCTATGGAAATGACAGAAGTTCATGGTGATATTCAAATAAGTGAAAAGCATTTGTCTCTGCAAAATATAAATTCAAATGCAATTGACAGTATTAATAACAAGAAAAAGAAATCAAAAGAAAAAAGTTTAGAACAAAGCAGATGTGTTATTCAGATGCAAAAAATAGAAAATAATAGTCTTGTAGACAAACCTACAATACAAAATAACACTGCACATTTTGATTTGTCTTGCACAGATATAGCAAATAATCAAAATATACCTATTCAAACATCCAGTAATGATAAAATGATTGTAGTTATAAAACCACTGCAGTTACACAAACACATTAATAAAAATCGCAACAAGGAACAACATATGCTATCTTTGTCTGACAGTGATAGTGATAATACAATTCGATCATCTTTAAATGTCAATACTTCATTGACAGTAACTGAAGCTAACAAGGAAGAAAATGTTCAAAAAACAAATGATTATAGGGTCAACAATAGTAATCAAGAGAGAACAACTAATAATAAAGAGTCAACAGCTTCAGATGATCAATATGAAAGTTCAAATATCACTGAAATCTCAATGAGAATGAATACATCGATAAATTCGATGCGCGAAACATGGAAAAGAAGGAATCATCTTCAATCATTGAGCTTAGATAAGAGTGATGAAGACATAACAGAAAACCACTCAAATATGAACAATCGACATTCACTAGCAGTAGAAAATAAAGAGGCAAACGATCTTGACGTCTTAGAAAACATCAGCTTAATTCAAAGATTAAGAAACATCTCTACACAAAATCCAGTTCCCTATAACAGTAAATTGAAAGTTTTTGACATGAAAGAGAATGTAAGAACGGATAATAGATTTAATGATATTAAATTTCAAAATAATGAATGTACAAATAGAGATAGTTATATTGAGGGAACTCCATATCCAATAAGTCGTTCAGTTTTGTTCAGAACACAATTAAGACATAAAACACAAAATTTAGATAACAGTGTAACGTCTAGCAACAATTTAAATTCAATGGACAGAAAAGAAAACATTGATAAAACTAAATCAGATGCTTTGTAAGTATACAAATATACAATAATTTTATGTAAATTTTAAATTATATACTTTTAAATTTTAAATTATATATATATATTTTTTTTAATCACATAGTATTTATATGATTTTAGTATTTATAATATTTTATTTGATTCATATTATGTATGTTATAATTTGTTATAATTTGTGTAATATTAATTAAAAAGACAGAGAGACTTCTTTCTAGTACTTTTTTTTATATTTCGTTCTAATATTTTTTTTTATATTTTTAGGTATTCAGAGACAATTGAAATTGATACAGTTATTTTGAAAGATACATCTAGTGATAATTCTTCTGTTATTCAAAATCAATTGAGAATCATAGAAGATACAGTTGATGAAACAAGACTTGAAACAAATGAAAAAAACACAGTTACAACTAATAACATGGAATGTATTTCAGTGAAGAAAAATAAAAGAAGACTATTCCCACTTAAAGAAAATTCTCAACTGTGTTCAATTACTCCAATAAAAGATAAATGCATAATTGAGGAATCAACACCTACGAAAAAAACCAGAAAATTAAGAAAAAAACGTCCAAAAAGAAAATCAATAGATATCAAGAATGACACAAGCTCTATTAAGCGTAATATCGTACGCGAAGAAACATGGTCAGACAATGATATACCTAAAAATAAGAAGAAAAAAGATAAAAAAATACAAAAATCAAGGAAAGTTGTTAGCAAGAAAATTGTTATCAAGAAATTTGCTGATGAAAATATGTTGAATATATTAAAGAGAAATAAACAAGAAGATGAATCATTAGAAAATAGAGATTCCTTAGATGATTTTGCAAAGCATCGCAAAATACCTACTCAGTGGAATAAATATAAGTCTCAAAAGATCGTTATTGCAACGACTGGTCTATCAAAAGGGTAATAATAATAAATTCTTTTAAAATCGTTTTTTTTTCTTTTACATTAAAATAATGTTTAGTATTATTTTACAAATTTGTAATTGCAATATGTTTTATGTATATAGGGACAAAAGTTTAGTAAAGAGTATTGTCAAGTCTCTTGGCATGGCAGAAATAGAATTGAATGTATCGAAACGAACAACTCATGTTGTGAGTACAGGTGTGCGTACAGTGAATCTACTTCGAGGGATAATAAGAGGTTGTTGGTTAGTTAGTTTAGAATGGGTTTTAAAATCTTTGGAGAACAATAGTTGGTTAGATCCAGAAGAGTTTGAAATGAAACATTTCTCTAAAGCTGTGCAAGTAAGATAGTTTGTAAAATGTGCAATGTAATGTGCATTTGCGCATCGTGTAATATGTATGCATTTTTCAGGAAAATCGAAAAGACAGACAATTATTCGGACCTTCGTATATCCCAGAATTATTTGCAACATGTGGGTTAATATATGTTGGGCATAAAACTACAGTGCCATGTAATATACTTAAAGAACTTATAAAGACAGCAGGCGGACATATCACTGAAAATTTTAAACTTGCGAAAATTATTATTGATATAAATGGTCTGAAGGAGACCTGGATTATAGATTCTATTACGACAGGTGAACTACAATTAACTAAACTTTATGAAAGAGGGCAAACAAAAGAATAGAGCTTTTCTTGATATTTATGTAAATTTATATAAAATTTATACAATTATTTATATCATCAGGGATACACAAAAGATATTTGTATATTAAATAATTATTTTTTTACAAATTATAAATTACAAATTATAAATAAAATATTAAATAATTATTTTTGTACAATTTATAGATCGCACAAAGAGTATTAAATAATATTAAATGTACAAATGTAAGAAAATTTTTTTTCTTGTTTATTTATAAAATTGCTTATTTAGAATCTCTGCTTTATCTTATGTTTATATCTTGTTCTAATATATCTTTTGTTTCATAATATTACAATTGTAATTGAATAAAAAAAGATATTATACATTTCATTTCTATTAAATTAGTAAAAGAAATATTTTTTTCTCTATTTTTTTCTGTGTTATTGTATCTTTTCACATAAGAAAACGTAGAAAACGCATGATATTCTTGTTTTATTTATTTATATAAATAAATCTTATTTATTTAATTTTATTTATTTAATTTTATTTACTTATTTAATCTAATTTATCATTTATTTTTTTATTTTCGAAATTATATAATAAAGTAACAAATTTGATAAGTTAATTTTGATAAGTTAATTAAATCTTATCTGTGCTCCTTCAGCGTGACCACATGTGAGTGTGTGCGTATGTACGTACGTCGTCGAAATGACATTTCGTGTAGCATGTAGCATACATCCCTTTACTAAATTTAAAGAATGCTTCCAACTTTCAAGAAAGTTATTCAATATACACATATATATCTAGACTTTTGACTTTCACAATATTTGATCGTATTGTTTTTCTTCGCTTCACAATAAAATGCTCATACGTACGTGTGCGCGCATATACATACACACACATACACAAGTCCAAGCGTTTTGATTCTCTCCTGAGATTAGGTTAGGTTAGGTTAGATTACTTTCACGGAGCACATACTTGTGTTTGACTGACAGCACCCAGTATGACCCAGCATACGATGTGTCAAACTGACACGCGTTCGCTAACATGCCCCATCGTATTTGTTTAACAACATACTAAGTCTCGCGCGTCTCAATTAACCATGGATGACGACTTATTAATCTCAGTTGATTTACGAAAGTAAGTAATAGAATTAATAACGTCATAATTGCGCGCATTTTCCTCCTTACAATCAATTGCATGTTTCGCAAAGTTAATTGCTCTTATCGCGTTATCTTTCGCGTTGTGTCGCGATCAATGCGATCTCGTTTTGCGTTTCGATAATTTCTCGCGTTGTTCGAGATGTACAATGTTCGAAAAATAAAGCTGTCAACATAACAAATAATAAAAGTAACACGACAATAGATTCTGTCATATTTTCTTTCGAAATGTCAGAGTCTAACATTTCCAAATTATTGTGTCATTTGTTTATCGAAGCGTACAATCTATGCACACATATGTGTAAGTATTACATATGTGTATTCGTACTTTGAGTCGTACTTTGATTTCGAGATTCGAGCAATTCTTTTAGCACGTATAAATAAAATTATAAAGAAATTGTGTTATGTTCCCGATTGTGAATTTTTTGGAGTCAATATATTAATGTAATATATACAATATATATTAATAAATATATCCCCGATCATATTACATTATATCATATTTGTTAAACAAGAAATATAATATGCATATTGTTTGATTTATATTATAGTTTATCTCTGCGTGATAGTGATATTCCATCCGCAGAGACATGCTTTCTATTCCCCCGAAACAACAGAACAATAATTACAGATGTGTATGCAGGAATACCAGAGAATTTGTTGTTAAATTTAATAGGATTTTTGGTAAGACTTTGCTTGATTACTTGAAATTTATATATATATATTGTCCTAGAAATGACAGTTAATGACTTGTATGAGTAAGAGATTATTGATATATATTAAGTTAATATCTAACATAATACCATATCCAAGGTTTTACTTACTTTATTTGGCCTATTACGTAAGAAGGCTTGGAATTATGGACGCCTTGCATTACTACATAAGTCTGATAACAGATGGATGGAGTTGTTCTACGGTGTTAATGAAAATAGAGATACTGATCCCTTATGTATAGAAGCTTCCATCAATTCTCAACTCTCTCAACTAGATAGAGGATTTCTCTCGTGGATCGCTACTGCTTTTAAGATAACGTTAGTGTATTTTCAACATATATAAATTATGTTTTTATTTATATTTCTGAATATATCTTTGATATAATTTATAATATTCTCTTACATTTGCAGCGACAATGAATTATTCCAACGTGCAGGTCCTGATGGATTATTGTATATTTTGTTTGAGCGTTGTTTAATCATATTAACCATCATGATGGTTATTGTATCGCTGTGTATAGCTTTACCTATAAACTTTCATGGGAGCATGCAACCAGGGAACAGTACGACATTTAGTCATACAACAATATCAAATCTAGATCCCACCTCTAATTGGATTTGGGTTCACACAATATTGCTCTTATCTTATCTACCAGTTGGTGGATTTGTTATGAGACGTTGTTTAAAACAGGTATTACTATCTTAATTTCGTCTATTGCGTAATATAAAATGTTTTGTACTTTGTAATAAAAAAATATAATCGAAAAATATAATATTATACATTTATGTTTTATCATATATGTATATATATAAAATTACATATGATAATTTTTATATGCAAAAACAGGTGCGAGATACAAGACCTACTGAAGAATTTGCAGCAAGAACATTATTAATTACAGATATACCAAAACATCAATGCACTGTTGAAAATCTTACAGAATATTTCAAGTATGTATATATATATATATATATATATATATATATATATATATTTATATGCATAGAAAATAGTCTTCTCATATTTTTAAATTTTCCTTTGACTTTTGACACAGATATTCTTTAAATTGAAATAATTCTTTCAGAGAAACATTTCCTACTTTAACAGTGGAGGATATTACATTAGCTCATGATATACAACGTCTTTCAAAATTAGATGCAGAAAGAGATTGCGCAGAACAGGCGCGCTTATATTGCGAGAGTTATGCTAAGAAGAGAGAACCTTTGAAAATGTATCCTTATCCATGTGGTCAAGTTCTTGGAATTTGTTGTAAAAAGGTAAATAATAATAATATCGATAAAATGATAAATGTATAAAATTGATTTTATTGTGTAGTTGTGAATAGACACATAACATGTATCGCGCAAATTATTATTTTTAATTCTATTGAAAGTTTCAATTATATTAAATTTGCAGCAAGTGGATGCTCAAGAATTTTATACCAATGAGGAAATACGATTAACAGCGTTAGTTGAAGAAGAGAAGAAAGTTACACTTAGTAAATCTCTTGGAGTAGCATTTATAACTTTAGGTATTTTATTTAATATATATATATATTTTTTTTTTATTTTATAATTAGAATATAAGAAAATTTAACGATAAATATAATTAACAGGAACACCCGGCGCAACTAAAACTATGCGCAAACAGCTGAGGTCCTCGCCGAATATAAAATGGATCGTGGATTATGCTCCGATGCCATCAGACATATTTTGGGAAAATCTGAGTATTCCCAAACCGTGCTGGTATCTAAATGCTATATTAATAAATTTCGCTTTGGGGTTAACATTGTTTTTCCTTACTACACCAGCTGTAAGTCAATTTTTTTCAGCAAGAGTATATGCATTTTACAATAAAAATTATATAAATTAAAAAGAAAGACAGATATATACATAACAAAGAAACTAGAATAATATATATAATATATATCTTCATATAATAAATATAATATTTTAATCTTTGATTACGTCTCTTCTAGTGTTATTTCAACATTGATAAAATTTCTTAGAAAAGAAATAGTAATATATATTGGTTTTTTATTTTAGGTCATAGTAACAATTGTCAGTAAATTACCGATTACTGGAGAGATTATGAATTTGAACCCAGTGGTTTCATCCTTTCTACCCACTGTACTCTTAGTCAGTGTAGCTGCTTTAATGCCTGTGTTAGTCGCGAAATGTGAATCGCTTGTAAGGCATTGGACTAGAAGCAGTTTAACTCGTACTATTATGAGAAAAACATTGTTACTTTTGCTATTGATGGTGCTTATATTACCTAGTTTAGGATTAACCAGCGCAAAGGCATTTCTAGACTGGAGTTTAAAGAATCAGAGTAACATGGTTTGGGAATGTGTATTTTTGCCAGATCAGGTGAGAACATTATAACAAAGTGATAACAATATATATGTATGTATTTATGTGTTCATATTCTTATGTTTACATTCTTAAATGAAAAATATTATAAATATTATTAATAAGTTCCTAAATATATTACTAATATTATTAATAGAATTTTTTATTGTTTTAATATTTATATTTCAAATCTATATCAGGAATATTAAATTTGTAGGGTGCACTTTTTGTAAATTATGTTATAACTGCCGCTTTGCTCGGAAGTGGATTAGAATTGGTCAGATTCCCAGAACTTGCGCTGTATACCTTCAGACTCTGTATAGCTCGTAGTCGAGCAGAAAGGATACATGTTAGAAAAGCAGTTCTGTGGGAGTTTCCACTGGGAGCTCATTATGCATGGTTACTTTTGGTCTTTACTATGACAACTGTCTATAGCTTGGCATGTCCGTTAATTACTCCCTTTGGTCTACTCTATCTTGTAATTAAACACTTGGTATGTTTGACTTAGTACCTTGCAACTTCGTTATTCTGATGTTTTGAGTATATCTTTTTGCAATAAAAATATCTCTTAATGAATAGGTTGACAGGCATAATTTATGCTTTGCTTATGGACCAAGCATCGGTGGTGGCCAATTGGCTGGAGCAGCAGTTGGTGCTGCAGGTGCTGCGCCAGTTTTAGCGCAAGCTGCCCTTTTAGCTTTAGGCCTGGTGCGAAGAGGCCTGTCTCCATTAGCCGCCGTGCAACTAAGTGGTCTCTGTGCAACTATTTTGGGCCTGGTAACCGGTGCTACCTTTCCGTGTTCGAAATCTAAGGTATTATAGATAGATATTAAGATATATCTGAAATATTAAATTATTGTAATACATGTAGCTTGAATGGCGTGTTTTATGGGAGGATTTTGTTGAATATTTCGTCAAATGGATTATTGAGCAATGTATACGGTATAATTTGAAAAAAAAACTAATTTTCTAGATTTAAATTCTGAAATTCAAATTTTATATACTTTAAAATCTACATATATGGAAATGATAAAAAAATATAAATTAGGTAGAAAAAATTAAAAAAAAATGAAAATTTTAGTGAGCTTCCCTTTCTTAGGAACATATTAATTATTTAAAATATATAATTTAATTGTTGATCAATTTTCTATTAGACACAAGTACCGAAAAAGGATCTTTCAACTGGTCAAAATTTCGTTGCACCAGTATTACGAAAGAATATGACATCTTTGGAAGAAACTATATCGACTGCTTCAAATTCAGAAGTGAATTTACCAAGTCCAAGAAGTACCACTTCCTCTATACAAGAAAGTCCAAAGCTTTACCAAAATTATGGTGGTGAGCAAAGAGTTTAATATCTGTATTTATATTACACCTGATATATATATACACACAGAATGCTCCATAATTTAAAAAACTACGTATATTCTAATTATTAATACATTAATTAACTAATCATGCAAACTAGAGCAAAAATAATAGCACAAATAATGTACATTTTCTTAATATAATGTTTCAAAGATAATGTTTCTTATACAGAGTTATCACATTAACACAAATTAGCATAACTTATTATAATTATATTTAATTTAGAAAAATCAACTTAGAAAAATTTCAAAATATTACTTTAGGATTATTCTTTATCTACTCTTTCATTTATAAATATTATATATATATATATTTATTATATGTAATGCTTATATATAATAACAGTTTGTCATAAAAAAGTGAAAATGATTAGATATTTAATATTCTATACTTGTATAAAAAAATAAAGCCTTATTAACGGTATTCTATACTTTAATATTCTATACTTGTATAAAATAAAGCCTCATTAATATTTCACGTAATCATTATTTAAAGAATATTAATGAGAAAAACAAATAAAGCTATATTATCATTTCAAATTTAACAGCATAAAAACATAAAATGTCTATTAAATCAATTTATTATATTTTAATATTTTATAATCCTATATCTTTCCTCTTATTATTAGTGTTAACATGTAATATTGTAATAATTGCTGTGGAATAACTTTAAATGAATAAGTTTACAATTAAATAGACATTTTATATGTGAAAATAAATTTTAGTAATAAAGTGTAATAATTTTCTGATTTTTCACTTTACAAATAATTATGTTGATATTTCCACAAGAAAACTCTAAATAATCCTTATAATATGCACATATTATTATATCTTAATTCATATCAAATTACGATAATAATAATAATGTTTAATATCTTATTATATAATTATTGCAACACCAAAATATGGTTAAGCAGGATGCTTTATTTTTATTGTGAGACTAATATAAAGAATCATATAATGTGTACGTAATGCTTATTCTATTTATATGGAAGCATGTGATACATATTATAATTACATATTCAAATCTTAGAAATTTATTCAATACACTGGTTTGGCTCAGTTAATCTATATTCTTTCAATTTTCTCAATATGTCTCATCAAGTTTCTTTCACCAAGTTTAGAAATTTTTCATAATAAATAATTAGCAACATATATATCTGTACAATTTCTTAAAAATTAAAGTCTCACGAGAGACTCTACTTATCTTCTTATCTACATGTTTAAGAAACTTAATAATGCAAAAAACTTATTTTACATATATAATATTATTACAATAAATTAAATGCGTTTTATTATGTAGAGAATTAAAAATCAAGCATTAATATAAATATCAATAATGTTTCTATCGTTCGTAAATTATTTATTACAAAATAGTTATTCTCTTGTTCTCACATAAATATCTCATTATTAATTTATCTCATAAAAATGAAACATGTTACAAAAGGTGAGGCAGTGGAGATATTTATTGCAGATTTGAAGACTCAATAGAAAGTAATAAACATGATAGAATTGAAAAATTTTTTCCTTTCTCTTTCTCCTTCATTAAGGCACTAGTCATCATATAAAACTGTACAACATAATTATATATAGTATATTTGGAATATAAAAAAAAATTTAAATTATCAAATATTCTTCTAATTGTTCTCGAGATTACATGTATTATATATTATGTTATTATGTTGTTCTCTACACAATTTTTAATACTTTATAGTTATATATAGTTATGTGTGTACATATAATCATGTAATATTAGACATAATGTTATAATGTATTATATGTACATATAAGAAATTCATAAATAATGTATATTATATTGGAGAGCGAGAGAGTATTAATTTTTGTTATATGAATAATGGGATATATAAATGACAGAAGATTCTTATTCACACAAGCTACCACCAATTATAGCTTCCAACTGACTAGATGTAAGATTACTTAACTCCTTCGCTTGATTTTTTTCTCGTTGCGATTTATAAAATGTCTTCTTCATTATCCTTGAATTTTTATCATACGACATAAAATTAGTCTCGAGATTGCTCTCTTCCTCTTCCTTCTGAGATTCTTCACTTTCTTCACTGCTTAGGTGAACCTACGAGGCACATTATTGTTTAAAACGATCTTTACAAAGAATGGATAATATTTTGAAAATAGATATTTGAATATAATACATATTTAAAAATTTAAAGAAGATATAAATTAATAATATATGATAGAGAGAGAAAAAATAAATTTGTATCAGACACATAAAAGTGTTTTAATTAAATAATTATTTCCTTTTTTATTTTTCTAAAAAAATGTGTGTGAATCACAATATAATTTCAAATTATCAACTTATAGAAACAATTACTCATCATTAAATTTAAGTTGTAGTATTTATTATAATCTTGGAAAGAAAAAAAAAGAAAAAAATATCGAATATTTTTTTGCTAAATACATTATAATAAAATTATTTAAAATAATGTTCTATACATATAAATAAATAAAGTAAAAAAAAATTATGATTATCACTTGATTAAATATAGTGTAGTATTTGTGATTAAATATAGTGTCTAAATGATCAGTACATTAAGATTTGCATAATTTTAAGATACTTTTGTTTAAAATTAAATATTATTACTCACCATGTCATTTTTTTTTCAAACAAGGAAAATATAATAAATAAACTTATTTTTTACTTACAATATATAAATATAAAAATTAGAATTTTTAAAATATATAAATTTTAGATATATATACATTTACATTACTTACGATTATTACTATCTGTAACAAATCTACATCTACAGTATACAATGTAAAATATACATTCTTATTTAGCAAGTATAAAATATTAAATAAAATTTTTGTTAATTAATTTGTCACACTGTATTGCCAATTTGAAGGAGGAGGGATAATGGGTACAATGAAAAATAATTAAAAATAAAAGAATTCAGATATCTCTTCTGTTTCTTTTTGTTTTTTTAAAACATATGCGCTACTTTCCAATTTTACAGCATAACTTTCATTATTTTACAACATTATAACAATAATTGTTACTTTCCTTATGAGTAGCCGCGAGTAAAAATTTTGATATATTGCATAACAATTAAAGATTGTACAAATGAGTGTACAAGAGAATATTGTATCTCTCATTATTTATGTATTTTTTACATACCAATTATGGACTTGTGTTTAAATTATAATTTGAATTTTCATATTTTTGTGCAAATATTAAAATTTAGCATAAAATAATGCAAATTTTCACAACGAAGTAAACAAGATTGTAGTTCCTTTGGCACATTACAAACGCATTCACTTGTTTATTCTTATCTAGCCTCTATCAAGACACTTCACACTTTCAGGAATTGTATCATTGATCTTGGATAAATTTTTTGACATAAATTTTTCTCTCTCATGCTCTACCACCACCAAAGTAATATGCAACAACTCAATTGTGCGCAAATAATACAGAGATGTATAAATTAAGGATATAAAATACTAATCGCAAACGCATGAAGTATCTCTATGCGAAGCTGTATTGATACGCAAAAAACATTTGCGAAATTATTTATCTATTACAGTGATTTTTACTAATGACACAAATAGGGAGCAAGGTTTCATCTCACCTCTACAATAGAAACCCTTGGTGATGGTTCACGCGTTGTAATTTTTTCCATCACGATCGGACTATCAGAACTCATCGATAAGTACTCTTTATCTGTCTCATTATCATTATCTGAATATTCTTTTTCGTCCTCGATAGGTTTCTGCACATCTGCATTTTCGTGTAACTTACACACGACACCACCTTTCTCCCGTTCGAATAAATTACCATCTAGATGAGCTAAAAGTACAAGCAATAGTGATATATATTAATTTTCGCAATGCATACAATTATATGTATACAACAAAGTGTCCTTTTTAATCAATATCTTTTTTTACTAATTTGAGAAATCGTTTTCCTTCAGCGAAAATATCCGCTGGAAAATCATTATCATTTATTGCATTTTTAAAATTTTTAACATATATTTTAGAACTAAGTTTGAAATTAAAATTTTGTTAAGATCAATTGAAAATTTATTGAAAAATGATATTCCATTGTGTGTTCTTTTCTAGATTAATTGTTTAAAAAGTATTAAATCAAATGTCTCGATTTTTTCATTGAGAAAAAATTTAAATGGATTTTTAAAAATTTACAATGAAAAAGATATTTGATTTTAGGATTTAGGACATTCTGTGTATGTTGCAAATGTGTTAACATTATTTTAGAATTACCTTGACAAAAGGCAGTGCTGCAAAAGGAACAATGCGCCGATGTTCGACGTCCGCATTCTAAACAATGATGCCAAGGGCAACTGAATTTCAATTCCGCATCATCAATTACGACGCACGTTGTGTGATATTTTTTGTTACAAGTTTTTTGCGAGCAGACTATAGAATTGTTTAGACCCGATATTTCTTGTCCGCATCGCCAACATATAAATTTCCTTGATCTAAAATAAAATCAATGAAATTCGTAACACATGGGATGATAAGAATCACGATAACACACAATAAGAATAAAGTATACAATAACATATATAATACCTTTTGTATCGTTTCGACTTATCCATTTTCTTCATTTGTGTAACCGGTTTGGATTGCACCATTGTCGATTGTACCGTTGGCAACTGTTGTTTTTGCGCCTTCAAACCGATAAAGCCGCTGCAATTCGATGCACCGCAAAGACATGCTTTCCGCGTTTCCCCATCGGATGCTAAATTATAATTGAATGTCAACTCTTCACCAGACTCTATGTCGCACAGAGCAAACAAACCGATACGTGTGTCTCCATTCACCGTCCACTTTTGAGTTTCGCAGTTTGGCGCGCACGAATGATCTGTAAATAATAGCATAATTATTTTCGTATTATATAGATTATGAATTTCGCAACGTAACGTATATACTCACTCATAAATCGACTGAGATTTCCCTTCGGTTCCGCATCGATCGTACGATTATTGTCGATCGTTAGAAAGTAGAAATTTTCATTCTTTAGTTCTTTCTTCCGATGCAATCTACGTTTATATTCGGCTTCATCTATAACTTCTCCCACGTATTCAATGACAAATTGTCCTGCTTTAATATCCTCCAAAGTTTTCAAACCCCATCCGCGGCCCACGGTGTGAAATGGTTCCATTGCTGGATATTGTCGCCGTACAAACGATTGGTTCATGCATTTATTTCCAGCTGGGCAAGTTCCAGGACTGCATTCCACCAACAGTATACGATTCAAACAATCTGTACCCGGTGCGCAAGGATTATCCCAATTAGGGTCGCACTCACATGCTACAATGCCTTCGACTTCGACTGGTTTGACGTTACCAACTGGTTTATTGACCTGTCATACACCTATTTTCATTAAGACTTCCACCACTTCATTGCAATCTTATTAGATTATACAATAATAATAAATTGTATACATATATCATTTTTCATTTCTATTATCAAAATCTTGAAATTTCAAATAGATAATAAATTATTAGATGAAAAAGTAAAAAAAATTGTATATATAAAATCTGGTATAAAGCGTACTTTTAATTTTACATATGAAGGCGGTTTCAATCCTTTTGGTTCTTTAGTCATGGATCGCTCTGTTTTTAATTGCTGATGTATTTTATTGGCTTCTTCTAAAGCTATTCGATATGTATCTTCCATTGCAGACGTTTTTTTACCCATAGGTGTTTTTATATTTGCGTCACCATCTTGATACAAAAAAGCTCGGCCTCTGAAAGAGATCATCGAATTAGAAAAATATTTATTAAATTAACATTTACATGTGTAAGAATATATATTCAAATAAAAAAAGATATTTCTATTTACCTATGCACCCAATAATAATCATTAGACCCCAAAAACATTACGCAAAATTTACCGGGACTATGAGGCATTCCCTCACATACATTTTCAGGAATTTCCTGCGGATAACATATACGAGCAGGCCACCACCGGTAATGACCGAACTTCACCCACACAACTTCTCCATATAAGGGCAGTCTCCCTGTCTCACAATCTTCACAAATAAACCCACCGTCAGGCGCATTTATACCTAAATTTATTCCAGTAAAAAACAATAATTTATTAAACATATATTATGTATTTTATATTAACTAAATATGTTTACAAAAGATTTCAATTTATGAAAAATTACCAAGACATTCTAGATGAAAGGAAGTTGGACATGTATCGCAACAAATGAGACTTCCGCCGCGCGTACATAGAAAGCACCACGCTGCATTCAGTGGAGGATTTCGTGCTTTATAATGCTTCGGGCAAACAATTTGACTGCCTGTGAGAATCACTGAACCAGCAGGTAAACACAATGTGGAAGCGTGGTAAGATGAAGGACAACGAACGCATCTTGCTATTTTTTCGTTCGGAGCACGCGAATGATTGTCCTGAGGATTATCAGAACTGCATGTGTGACACACATGATATGGACATGTCAAACGTCCACCTTGCCAATGAGACTAAATAAAATACAAACTTATCAAAATTTATCAGTAATAAAAAGAATTTATTAATATATATATATATATATATATATATATATATATATATATATTCATATAATATACAAGGATTATATATATATATATATTATAAAAAAATAGTTTTACCTGAGGCCATGACTTCAAACATTTGGAATGATAATGCCTTCCGCAAGCTGCCACAATGCACCTTATTCTGTCTCCTTCTCTCTCATTGCATATAAAACAAGCGGGTGCTACTCCAGACAAGCAATCAATACATTTAAACATTTCATCCTCTTGCTCCTCGTTCTTACCTGAATTCAATTAATATTAATATGTATCACATGATAATATGTTAATATTGACAATATTGATCAAAAAAATTCTTTTCTTATTTTATTTGTAAAAGCTATATGTAAAAAAATGTTGTTGTTCAATATAATTAAATATATTACATTAATTATTATTATTACCATTATTATCATGTTCACTATTAATACTTTTCTTAATTATATTTAAATCATCAAGTATTCTATCATCCGATGTATTCTCGTCAACAGAGTGCTCTGGACTAGATTCACCAGGTTTCACACAGGACAAATGAAAATAAGAATAACAAGGTCCTTTACATCTCGTTAATTTTCCTGTCTTCTCGCAAATCTGACAAACTTTCTCTTGTTTCATACCTTTAAAGAGATTATATGGTCTACCACGTTTATATATAGTTTCTGAAACAGAACTTTCTTCTTTGTCAAGTTTACTTCTCTTTTTACTTTCCCTCGTACTTGTGTCAATCTCAATCGGTGTCTCAAAATCTTCATGATCTGGTGTACTTTCTTTCGAACGCGAACTATCACGTGTCATATACGAACGATATTTTTTTCGAAAAGCCGTATCCATACCATCCCAAGTTTTCCGCAAATATTTTTTAATATCGTCCTCCGACGCATTTGGATATTCATCCTCTAACAAATCTCTATTTCGTTCGTAATAGATTTCAAACACACCATCTTCATCTTCTTCATTTTTATCGACTTTTGTAGTTGTATTGTCACTTTTATGGCTTGAAGGAGATGAGGGTAAAGAGTCCGAATTCAGTTTTAAATCCATTTTACCGTTTACGGTCCGCGAATATTTTGATTTCGATACTTCCGATTTACGCAATTTTGACATTTCCGGCTTTTCTGAATTATGTACCTGTAAAAATAAAAATGCAGTTATATTCAGTAAAAACAAAAGTAAATTTATATTATGTGTGAAAACAATTTTTAATATTACATTATCCTGTTTGACACGTTTGACATCGGGCTCGTCCTGATCGGTCGAATATTTTCTTTTATTGTTTTTATTTTTTTCATCGATAGTAGATGACTTCGTGTCTCTAGACCTTGAAACTTTAATCTTTGGCGCAAAAGCTTCGGCTCTTTCTTCATTTGTCATTGGTTGCACTTGCATAGCTTCATCAACAGCGTTTTCCCATTTTGATTTTATTCCCTGTTTCACAACAAAAGCAGCAGCATATCTATCCTTTTTCTTTGTTTCTGTTATTAATGAGTCTGCCAATTTTAAGAAATCAGCAAGATTTGTAAATTGCATCATACAATTAGCCGAAACCCAGCTATGACGTCCTTTATCTCCAAAGTATTGAACGTGTATCATCATGATATTTGACCTGCCTCTAGCTATGCAGGAGAGAAATAGTGAAAAAGTTTTCTAATAATTTACATGCTTACCAAGATTTTTAAAAAATATATCTATAATAAATAATATTTTAAATTATAAAAAATTTATATAAATTTTAAATTATGAATATTTAAATATTTAAAAACTTATAATTTATTTTTTACAATTATCCATTATGTATTTCTGAAGTAATATTTTTTTTTCAAATGTGTCATTTAATGACTAATGAAATAAATGCAAAAATTTTTAAAATGTACCTTTCAATTTGCAATAGATCATTGAAACTGGATCAAGTGTTACAAGGCAAGGCCAAAATGGGAAATTGCCAACTCTGGCCCATGCTAACTGTCCTACTACCCACTGACATTCAATAGTGGGACTTGACACTTTTGAAGATGGATTCTCCTCTGTACTATTCGATATGGTAGAAGAATCATTGGTTTCATCTATAGCATTAGCTATATTAATTTCATCGATACTTTCACTACTATTGTTCATTAAGTTCTGTTGTTTACGTGTCTTTGGACTCTTCAAATTCTATAAAATCATACAAGAACAATAAATATTATTGTATAAATTATTAAATAAAACTTCAAATGATAAAAAAAGAAGCAATATTTTTAAGGATTAAACATTATATTTAATATCTATAAAAAAAATCACTTTTTTTTTTAAATTCAAAAGACAACACTGATAAGTATATAAATATTAAATTATATACATATTTAAAATCATGTCTTATCCTTTTATATATATGGATTTTTTAAATACAAGAATACATATAATCATCAAGGAAATAAACAAGGACATTTGTACAAATACTTCATTGAATTTTTTAAAAGCACGAAATATACTGCGCATACCTGTAGAGAGTTGGAAACATCATTCATGGAAGACTTGGGTTTTATCATTCTACCATAACGACTTCTGCTAGGCAGATTGCTATTGTAATTATTGTACGAGTCTTCTTGACCGTTACATACATCTTCGCTAAATGCTTCGATATTCTCGCCAGCTGGTGAGGACGCCTTGTTGGCCTCTATTTGGCTAATGGTATTCATAACTATATTATCAGAATAGCATTTTCATACTCTTACAATCTGAATATTACGAATCATGGAAGTACATCGACTACTCTAACGATGATTGTTCACGAGGGTCATGGAACGCCAGCAGTAGAGGCTCAGGCGTTGAAAACAATTCTCACTACCGCTGGCATCAGCGACCGTCTTAGAGCGTCGAGGGTTACTCTCTCTTTTACGAATGATCGAGCCTATCTCATCCGGGGAACGGTTATCAGCTTCTACACCGCAGAAACCACCGTGCGATCCTAATTTCCGTTCTCTCGCCCGTCTCAATTGTTGTGATAATAACGAATTACGGGCGAACCTCGCGGAGCTCCGTGGAGCAGGACGCGTTTCCCGCGATTTTGGGCGATCCTCACAGTCGCGCTGTCGTCCCTGACAAAGTCACTAGATCGACAAAGTCGCATGCCTTTTTTATCGGCCAGGTTATTTAATTTTCTTGTCCTTTTTCTTCCAAGAAGCGCATATCAGAAGCATAGATTATGCATTGAAGAATAAAAATTAGAATTTTATCAATCTATATATAAAAACGCAAAAATAGCTAAAAATTCTTTTTTTCTGGTCAAATTTTAATTTTTAATACATAGTTTGTGATACGGGCTTAAGGGAATTATCTCAGGAATTACCTGCATCGTTTTGTATCAAATAACAAATAATTGTAATTAAATTAAAGATATTTATTTATTTTTAAAAAATTATCACAAATATATCGGATAAACGGAACATTATATGTGCTGTTAAGAAATTTTTATCTACCTTAGAGCCATTTCCACAAGCTAGTTTGACGCTGATTGGATCGCAAAGGTTTGACAACTGGCAACTATTGTGGAATGGCCCATACAGTCGTAAAAATATAGAGAGCGATTTAAATGCGGCTTCGTGAGAATATTATGCTCCATAATTAATTATGATTCAAAATTTATCGAAAAGATCGGCGCAATTCTTAAAATATCCAATTTGATAGTAAGTTTGAAATTCAAAAATGCTTGAAAAAAAGATTAAAAAGTTATTAAGGATTTATAAAAAATAAAGATATTAAATATAAAATATTATTTTATTCAATTTTTTATATATTTTCATTTATGATTCACAGAAAATATGAAAAATGTTATTTATTGTGAGAAACATAGGAAAAGGCAGCAATTAATTGGTTATGTGCATACATACATGAATCATCATTTATTATGTAATCGATAAATAATTAAAACAAAATATAGAACAAAATAGAATAAAAATTTTTTAGTTAATTCTCTTTTTTTAATCACTTTTTAATTTCTAATTCATTATTAGCTCGTTATTTTAAAAACTGCAATGATATCTTTTCAATAGATTTTGAAAAAAATGGCATTTGATCAGTCAGAACAAAATAAATCAAGATTTCTTTGTCATAATTCTCAATTAAATACTACTCTATTCGGTTTATATTTCTAATTATTAAAATTATATGGACAAAGAAAGATATTTTCTGCAAATTTTCGTAACGTTTATGTACATTCAAATAATTCTTGTAATATCATTTTAATATTTAAATTTCTTTTATGATTAAACATAGCTACTGTCAAAAATGTTAGAAAAAAACTAACATCTGCATCATATGTTTATATAGATAAAATTTATATTTAGTACAAGTGATAATAGATGGTTGCAGTTCTGTCCAAGTTTTTAAATATTACTCATGAATTCGGTAAAATTTTGCAAATAACACTTGTATTAAAATAATATAAAAAAATACAATATTGTACTAATATTAATATAAAAAGAAGGTATAAGTGTACATCTATGGAACATAATGATAGAAGATCAGTTGTTATATGCAACGTATCAATAGAAGTAACATACTATGAATATTAACAGAGAGAATAGTATTTAATCTTGATATCCGAATAATTTGTATGTTATGCACGACTATTTTCTCTTATATTACTTCAAAACTCACATTTAAATACAAGAAAAAAAATTGTTCAACAATATTATCTATAATATGAATAATAATTTATCTTGTTTTATATTGATCATATAGGTAGTATGAATAATAACATATCTTATTTTGCATCGATCAGCCACACATCAGTCTTCTCACTAGTTTCGTCTTATTTTTCTGAAAAACAAAGAAATATAATATTACAATCTTTATAATATTTTAATTTTTAATCAAGCTAATTTTATCAGACATATTTTCGATTTAGTGAAATTTTTGCTTACTTTTGCAAGTTAGGCTCTCTCAAATTTACTGGCGCTTTTCTTCGTCTAGGACGACCGGAAGTATAGTTATTACTCATATTGTTTTCCGAGTCCTGAATTTCATCTTGTTCTAGATTTTTATCCGAAGTGTCTCTCCTGCAAATCCAGAATATTAAAGTTTAAATATAATTCATACAATTCCCAAAAAGAATCTTATTCAATTACACGTACACGTGATCATTAGTATTTCGGGATTCTATATCGTCGACGGGTGGCGTCCTTAATTTAACATGAGATTCATTAAGCTTCTCCAAAACAACTTTAGCTGTGCTTGGATCTCGATTGTTCCGCGATTTATTTCTCTTCTTTGTTTTGTCCTTTGAAGCAACATAATTCGTTTCGTTTTCGAAATTCAATTTCGCTATTTTATTGTTTTTATTTAAATACTTTTTTTGTTGTGGTGTCGATTCTTTTTCATCTTTAATTGAACTTAATGGCAGTTTTATTGTGGCAGTCTGATTGCGTTCCAAATCATTCGGAGTATTATTTGACATAGCCGAGATATTGACAATGTTTGGGCTTGCAACAGTAACTTCAGTGTTGATCTCATTACCGATAGAATTCATCATAGATTCTTCTAAATTAGGCAATCTCAGCTCATTGATATCGAATTGCATGTTTTGTATTGGTTGACGTGACAACATTAGTGTAAAATCTTCTGTGACTTCAGGATGCTCTCGCCTTAGTGTCACAAAACGTGTAAAATTTGTTGTATCTTCAGCATTATTGTCTTCGATGTTATTTAAATTTTCCTTACGATTGAATATGTTTCTTGTTGGAAGTTCGCAGACATCACTATCATCTTCATCATGAGATTTATGGTCAATACGATCGGCAGATGTTGCGTTTCTATTTAAAGTTAGAATATCATTCACAGATTCATTTAAGCTTTGAAGTGGTGATAACTCTTCTGTGTTGCTTTCATTCGAGTCATCATCGTACACTATTAATTGAGATGTGTTATTATTAACATCAGAAACATTAAGATGATTAAGCTCTTCCGGTTCGTTATCTCGTGATGGTATAGTATTATTAAACAACCAGCTTGGACCTTCCAACGGATCCTCTTCTTCCCAATTTCTAGTATTATTTTGTGATAATCTTGAATTTTCTATTACATTTGAAATTTTATTAAGTTTTTTATCAGAAACCTTGTTTACTTTAACAGTGAGATCCTTTTTTGATATTTGTGTGTGCATTTTATTTTCATTATTTGGATTAATAGACATATGAGTTTCTGGTATTATGCTATTTCTTTCTAATGAATTATTAGACTCGTTATTATTCTCTTGATTTTCAATATCATCAACTCTATTATCAATTATCTATATGAAAATAATAATGCTATATTAACAGTTTAAGTATATAATATCCTTAAATAAAAAGATAAGAAAGTATCTTATTAGAGATAACTTTTTTTACATTTATAAATAAATATTTACTCTAAAATTTATAAATAAATATTTACTCTTCTAATGTTGACAGTCTGAGAATCACGTAGTAAATTGGATATATCTTTAAGTTGTATTGTAGGACTAGCTATATTAATATGTCTCGTGCTAGTTGTTGGAGTTTCATCAGACCATATATTTCGTGATCGCGAATAAGATCCTGATATTCGATTGGAATAATTTCTCCTTCTTCTTCGTTGTTCATCAGTTATAAGTACATCTAAATGTTAATTATATTAAATTATATTAAATGAAAAATTTGTGATTAAGTAAACATAGATTAAAAACTAATTTGATTAGTATTTTGTCATACCACTAACTCTGGGTGAAGCGATTAGTCTTTCTGGCATTCTGCATATAGTTCGATTATTTTCCTGAAATAATTGCATGTTGTTTATATAAAATTTATATAATATGTATATGTGTTTGTATGAAAATAATGATATTAATATGTAAAATAAGGCTAATAAATATATACATACATATCTAAGTGGTGTAGATGGTAAAGAAACAGTAAGTGATGGTCTATTCTCACTTATCTCTTCATTTCTATCAGGAGTAATTACTTCTTGTATATCACTCAATCTTGATATACTTTCCATATTAACTCGACTCAAATTAATTGTAGGTTTAGTAATAGTGTGTCCACCCACCATTGGTTTTACTACACCTTTAGCTGGTGATTTTGTCGACAGTCTATTGGATGATTTTTTTCCTGAAATATTTTTAAAAGTATATAATACAGTACTATAAATATCTAACAAATTGTATATACATTAAGTTGTAAAATCTTTGAAATTTAGTAACAATGTGATGAGATATTCCTTACTTCCATCTGAAGCAGACGATAGTCTCACAGTGGTATTGGAAGCAGCGACTTCTTGACATATAGAAATAGTACTTGTTATATAACCAGTCATGTTGATCAATATTTTTAACATTTCTTTTGAATTATTCAATACATTGTCAATCACAGTCTACAAAATAAATAATAAATATTAATAAATAAATATATTTTAATAAGTAAAAAAAATTTAGAAGAAATTACATTAAGAAATCAGAATAAAAATAAAGCTAAAATAAAATTAAAACACAGTTGTCTAAATTTTATAAAAATAAAGAAATTGAAAAAATTTAGACAAAAAAATATCTACATATAATACTGAATTTATATATACATTCATATCGCTTCTTCTTATAATATTTAAAGATGTCATTTTCCCAGCTATTTTTTTCTTTAGATTCTTTATCTTTTTGCAGTTTGATTAGAATCTGCTTCAGCTTTACTTCTATTTTAATAGTAAGTTTGTATTCCATATAATCATTTCTATTTTTTAATTCTTAAAATAATATAAATGATGCTTACATTTCGTGTGTTACATATTACATTCAACTGTTGAATCTCTGCAATTAGCTGAACATTCTGTGTAAATAAGGATTGATTGGTCTGTTTTTCCTTTGTAAGAGCCTTGGCTAAGAAGTTATTATTATTCTTTAATTTTTCATATACTGAAAAAAATAATTTTTAATTAGTAAAATAATGATAATAATGAAGAAAAAAATAAAGGATAATAATTGATAAAATACTCTAATTCTCTTACATGGTCTATATGATCGTTCCTTGTAATGCTTTCCTAAGCATTGTGCCCTTTTAGTAAGCACACTGACTCTTTTAGCTTTACGAATTTTTGGTATGTTCGGCATATTATAGTTAATATCTAATTCTTTTATGCAATAGACATGTGTATACGTGAAGAAAACAATATAATATACAAGGAAATTTGGATTCACAGATTTATCTGGAAAATATTACGTCACATATTCTGAATACTTTATTTCTGTGCATGCGAAGATTATAAAATAATTTTTTAAAAATATATTATAGTATTTTAACATGCTATATTAATATTAATGACATTATAAATACATACCTCTAGTATTACTATCTCATCTTTTTACATATGTAAAAATTGTTAGAGATTTTGTTCACTATCATTTGCGTCCAGCAAAATGTATTTATAATACTTTTATCTGTAGTGAATGTCGTTTAAATTTATGAATAATTTGAATAATATATCATCACACATTAACTTGCCACGAATGTTCGTTATATTCCGCCATTCCGAGAGATGCAGAAAGAGAACGTACTGAACATGGAAACCTGAAGTTGGTTTTCTTGAAAATGAAAAACCGTACTTGGCGGCACTTGATGCGTTTAGGGATATTTTTATTCCATAGTTGACGACCATGGCTAAAGGAAAGACCATAGACCATAAAAAGCATAGACCATATAAACATAGACGATAGACGTATAAAAAACATAGGGTACTTTCCGATTCGCGCATGATGCGCATGAAGTGACAGAAAATGTATAATATGCGTGACATGAACTCATTGAACTATATAACATACTGGAAGCCGCGCTACCATAGAAAGTGGCCGATCCAGCCTGTTAGACAAGGAGGCGCTAAAAGGTGATGCGTTCTTTGTTTCTCTAACGTATTACGGTCGATTCGTCTAAAGTTCTCACACCATAGTAGATGAAACAAAACTGTATGTATGTACTATTTTATCACAGTTTTAATTTGAAAAAATGATATTTGAACAAATACGTATTACATTGCACATGCTACATTTCTTTAGACTAATGTTTTCAGCTCGGGTAATATGTAAGACAAGGAAAGCATGACCACTTAGCACTATCTCTCTCGGCTCGGGAATAATGAACAAAACGTATCTTTGCGCAGCTTCCAGTATGTTATATAGTTCAATGGCATGAACTAAAGATTTTCAGCGCTGGCAGTGAATTTTAGAACACGCCCTGTATATACATCGCAAGAATTGATCAAAAATGGCTTTTCTCTGTCGATATATAAAACAAATCGGAAAAAGTTTAATAACATTCGAACCTACAAGAAATATATCATTGTCTGCGACCACATGTTTAAGAGAAAGTGAGTTTGTTATACTAAATATCACTTGCTAAATAAGAAATACAATTTTAAAAGATCCTAACCTATATATCTATTAAAGATCTGCTAAAAGTTTATTTATATTTAACGTTTTTTTTTTAATACAGTAACTGAAAAGAAGGAAAATAATGTTTTAACGATTGAAGCTCATTATGTACCTCATAAGAAGGAACACCTACAATTGAAATTGGACTCGAAAGCATGTTCCCTTTGTGCTACAAAACTTAATGTTAAACACACAGTAAGTTTTTTCTTTTTTGATGAAATAGATTTGTTTTATTTTTTCAGTTTTAAAATTTAAAGTTCTGTTATTTTTTGCAGGATGTTCTCATACTAAGTCAATTCCTACGATCAGATGGCTGTATGTTACCACGTAGAGTAACACGTCTATGTGATGTGCAACAGAAAAGAGTTACTGCTCTTGTAGCTATGGCTCAGAAAGCAGGTTTGTAAATGTTGCTTTAAATATATTTTACATTAGTTTATATAGGAAATAACAATTATCTTGCTTTGTTCTTTTAGGCTTGATGCCAAATTTGACTCCAAAGTCGAGTAAAAAGAATCCTAAACGTAGACGAGACTGGAAAAAATTTAACATGTATTTCGATGAGAAAACCATTAAAAATAGATATAGGAACTATTAAATATATGGCATAAAATTATATAAATAATTATATAAATTATACAAATAATAACATTTACTAATTTATAGTTATACGAATGAAGCAATATATTTGAATTCAGAAAAATAAAAATATTGCCATAAAGCAAATGCTGCTACTCATTTAAAATTTAATCTTAAATTAAAAGTTATGTAATGTTTTCAAGTTATTCAATTAACTGGGTTGGTTTTCGAAATCTAATTCTCCCAAAATTTTATATATATATATATTTTTTTCTTTCAATTTTATTTTTTTTTGAATAAGCTTTACAAATTGTGCGCCACGAAAAATGCAAGATTTCTCAGTTATGTTTATACTGCTTTATCGAGTGAGTTTTTAACCTCATCAATGTTAACCTAACAACTAGGCATCTTAAAACTTCAGTATTTTCTTCTGAATTATGTGTAAATTTTTAACATAATAGAATCAAAATAATTCTATTCTTAATAATATTAAATAAATGTTAAATATACAAGCAGTATAAATTTTTTAAAAGGTATGCATTGTTTTCTATTTTTCTAATCATGAATATTAATCTAATCTAATAATCTGATATGTAATCGGAAAAATGTTTTTAATATAATTGTAAAAATATTTTACGTGAAATCCCGCAAATAAATAAAATTTCAATTGTTACAGATTGATATACATAATTAAAAAGAATCATGGTTACAAATATTATTTTAAGGAATTGGAGGAATTTACATTCCATTAATTGTTATACTAAATGGAGTAAATCAAAGTATTTCAAGCATATTGGGACAGGAATTTTAACAGGATTTGCTGTTTACAATGTATCTAACATCACTACAGTCCTGGCAGTGCAAAATGATTTGCGCAATTATGTTAAAACCTTTATGGCAGAACCTATCACAGCTGTTGAAAAATTACAGAATAATCAGAACAAGATGAGGACAAAAATGGAATTACTGGTAATGAAAACACAGGCAGATTTTTGTAAAGCTCTTGAATTGCTGGAGAACAATAGATCCTCCTTCAAAGTGGATCGCTGGTTTAGAAAAGAAGGTGGTGGTGGTATCACTTGCGTGTTGCAAGATGGGCAAGTATTTGAGAAAGCAGGCGTTAATGTTTCTGTGGTGACTGGAATATTGCCACCGAATGCTATCCAACAGATGAGAGCACGTGGTAAAAAGATGGAAGACTCAGTACCATTCTTCGCTGCAGGCGTGAGTGCTGTAATTCATCCACGCAATCCTATGATTCCTACAATTCATTTTAATTACCGTTACTTCGAGGTAGAGAATCCGGATGGTACTACTCAATGGTGGTTCGGAGGCGGTACGGATCTTACTCCGTACTATCTGGATGAGAAGGATGTTAAACATTTTCATGATACGTTGAAGGTCGCGTGTGATAAGCACGATCCTACCTACTATGCCAAGTTTAAGAAGTGGTGCGACGATTACTTCTACATCGTACATCGTGAGGAACGGCGTGGTGTGGGCGGCATATTTTTCGACGACCTTGATAGCCCAAGTCAGGACGAGGCATTTCAGTTTGTAACTTCGTGCGCCGAGGCAGTTATTCCATCATATATTCCCTTGGTGAAGAAACACAAAGACGACGGCTACGGATATCATGAGAGGCAATGGCAATTATTACGACGAGGTAGATACGTCGAGTTCAATTTAATTTATGATCGGGGCACCAAGTTTGGCCTATATACACCTGGCGCTCGATACGAAAGCATACTGATGTCCCTGCCCTTGAATGCCAAATGGGAATACATGCACAAGCCCAAAGCCGGCTCGAAGGAATCGCAACTTTTGGAAGTATTGAAAAATCCGAAAGATTGGGTAGATGGGATTAAATCAGACGGCGTGCAAACATAGGTTGAATATACGTTCAAAATAATTTCTAATTGGGAATAATTATGGGAAAATGCAAAAGGTAATATTACAAATATAGATTATTATTTTAATACATGAACGAGATCCAAAAACGAGACGTCTAATGACGTAATTTTGAAAGTTGAGAATTTATAGATATACGAATTTTCATTAGATACTTATGTTCGAATTTTGAATATTAATTATATTCAATATCACAGTTATGTGGATCCGATGCTTCCTTGAAATGTCAGGTGTAAAAATATGTTGTAAATAATTGCATATAAAATAAACACAGATTTTGTACAATATATATATATATATATATATATATATATATATATATATATATATATATAATTAGAGTAACTGGTCTTATACAATCATACATATATTCAAATTTTATAATATTTGTTAAGAAAGTATATATATATATAAGTCAAAATATATAATAATATGACAAACAAATATCATATAAAATCTTTCGAGCTACTCTTTAACTTACATATGAACTACTTCATCCTAGAAACTTAATCAAATACTATTTACAATATAGTACCAGGCATCATAGCCAAAAAAGGTTTTTAGATATTGTTAGGACATACATATATATTTGTGGAAGTCGAGAGTAGTAGTCACATCTTTCTCTTTCATAAATTTAATTTTCTTAATATTCAGTCTTCGATTAACAGAAATTGTTTTCCTATGTATCTTTCTCAGTTTATTTAGGCAGTTGTACAAAGCAAATATTATCGTCTTAAGATAAAACATATATTGTATTAACTTTAGAGATCATAAAAATAGACATATATAAAATATAAATAGAGAAAAATAATTGTAATATTGTATAACAATTACTCAAGCATGACAATTGTTAGAAGATGAATTTATTGATAAAATGAAAAGAAAATGTTTCACAGCTGAAATAATTTTCTATTCATATTTTCATGTGATAAATTCAAAATATTTATATTATATATTTATATTATATGTATGGCAATTAATATTGTAAAAATTGAGCATTTGGATACATTTAGTGTGTTTTATATTTTTTTTCTATTCAAATCTGTTAAATTTCTTTAATGGACTAAAATCGCTGTAAACATTGGCAGCTTTGGTTAGTTAATATGTAATGTTTACATTGAGTTAAAATGAATCATCAAGCTTGACTAAACACATTCCATATTCCATGTATATATATATGAATATTTATATGTAATTTTTATTATATACAAATTCTTTAAATAGCCATATTTTAAATGCGTAATATAAATAAAAAAATAAAAAAAGTTTTAATACATACATGAGATATATATTGAACACGATTTTAGTAAAAATAAATTTCATATATACAAAATACAAACTACATAAATGCCAGAGTTCTCACGCAATCTATGAAATTATATGAAAAATTAAACATGTAATAACTAAATGAAATTATTAAACGCTCGTTTCTTTCTTAACAGGTAAATGACTTACTTGTTCATGTAAATAAATCTCATTAGTTTCGAACTGCTGTATATCACACGATTTTGTAGGTTCCAAACACGTGCTCGTTTCATCAATTAAACTGAGATTATTGATATCGTGAGAACTAGATTTACTAATTGACGGAATATCAGCAAGAGAACTGAAATTTTTCTCCAGCAAAAGATCCTTCGATTCTGGCACATTAAATACATTATTATCTACTATGTCTAACGATTGCGACTCGTGGAGATTGTTTTCCTCTAAACTCTTGTCAGAGATACAATGAATATTCGCCAGAGAACAGGCATAGGGGGTTTCCGCATGTGGCGTTAACGTACACGGATTATCACTAGTCAAACTGTTTACCTCAAAGAGTGAACGTTCCGAGCGATCGAACGATCGTCGAAACTCAGAAATATCCTGTCCGCACAGATTTGAACTGGTTGTATTTTGTACATCTGTAAGCGACGGTTTCGAGTACTCGCAGTGCTGCTTTAACGACATGATGTCATTTAATGAATTACAGTAACTGTTTGTCAATGGTTTCTCGTGCTCCAACGGTAGGCAATACATACTATTGGAAAGATACAATCGTTTTGCTGTGTTTCCTCGGAAGAACTGGCGTTCCTCTGCAACTTGAATTTCATTCATATCGCTAGAACATCTGTTCGAGAAACACTCTTCCGCGCTCTCGCAGATCTCCGGCAAATTGTGATCACTCCGTTCACTGGTCATCTGTGTGACAGTGTCCATTTCGGAGCTGTACTCCAAGCTACATTGCTGAGAGACGTTTCGTAAATGCCACTCCTCGTCCGTTTTGGAAACATCTGCATCCGAATCAGCATGTGCCGTTCTTTTCGATTGTGCCGTGTCTATCGTAATGGAATTATCCTGCCGCGCATTACCATTGTTGAGCTTTTTAACGCTACGCAATAGATTCTCCTGACCGATAACAAAGCGTATCGGGATATTTCTTTCCTCAGAAATGCTACCACCGCTATCCGACAGTATATTCACATTTTTGATGTCGTTTATGGGATTCAATTCGACGTGTATGTTGGTGTTGTTCACTTTAGCGCTGCTGCTCAGAATGCTGCGTTCCAGACTATTGTTGATCTTGGCCGCAGGCCGAGGTACAGAGATGCAACTGCCGCCATCGCTGGTCGCCCCACCGTCACCCTGCTTCCTCGGACCGAGATTATTCTTTTTTGCGGTGTGTCTACGTTGTTTCTTGAAAAACTTCCTGGCGACGCCGCTTTGATGAGGATTGTAAAACATTTCGACGCAGGCTGACGACGGCTCGGTGTACGTAGTGACGGAATTGTTAGAGCGATACTGTTGACGATGCAATACTATTAGATTTGCTGCTTTCGCACTGACAGGAACAGTGGGTACGCTGTCTCGATTGGCGGACACAAAATCTGCAAGCTTCGAACAGTTGTAGATCTGTTGAGAGTGATTGGTGTTTCTCGAAGTAACAGAATTCGTGTCGGATATTGCTTGAGTAGCTTGCGTGTTTGACAACGGCGGGACGAAGTTTTGCACCAAAGGTTGTGTCGGAATTGCGGCATTAGCATCGCACACGCTTCTCGTGCGACAGCAACGATTTTTTCGTTTTTCCAGCCAGCAGCGCATCTTCAACCATTGGCTGCGAACATCATTTCGAGCAATTCCGTAAAAGAACAGCACAAACATACCGAGCGAACTCGCGGTGATGGCGTATATTACGGCGAATATGGTCTCCTCAAATGGTATGGAATTAAACGGCTCGACTGTTACTGCGGTCGCGCCAGCCCAAGATATCAGATATAACACTAGCATTATGACTTGACCTTTCCACTGCGTAAATTGTGAGTGTTCCGGATCCTCGATGTCAGAAGAAACCGTCTGTGCGCTGCGCACGCTGTTCCTATCCCCGGAGGGATTCGGATTCGGCTCTAGCAACTCTAAATCCATGTTCTCCGTTGCCTGAGTGCCTTCGGATAATTGCGCGTTTACATCGACATTCTGAATCGCACGTCTGATGAGCAAGAGAAAGATCAGCAGGTACGCGATTAATATTCCGGATGGTATGAAAAGCGCGGCAAGCGCCGGTCCGGACGTCAGGAAACAACGAGAATAGCCAGCATATTCACGTAAATTAATCGCGCCGGATATTCCGCAGATTATTAAGGCCACGCCCCATCCAACTAGATAAAGTCCTAACAACGGCTTGGATATAGGCTGATCTGGATCCACATCATCATCGGGTATCACATCGAGGCCTGATTTCGTCAGTTTCTTGTACATATTGCTGAAACAGAATATATCACGATTCATGTTTTATTTTATTTATCTTTAAGATTCATTTTTTTCATTTTCTTATTTTTGTAAAATATATATTTCTTTATTTAGTGAATAATTACCTGGCAGATACCGCCATCCATAACAAACAACACAGAGACAAATAGTGTAAAATAAGGCCGACACTCTGACAAATCTCGATGTGTTCTGTTTGTTGAATGCCGATGCTATAAATAAATGATAGCAATGCCATAGCGAACCAGGTATTGATAACAGAATGTTTCGCTTTCTTAGGCATTGTGATAGATGTATAAGAAATAATATATGTCACAGACATGATCATCAAGCAAGTTATCGTCACGAAACTTCCTATATATATCGCCGGATGTGAATATCTGAATTTCGCTCCATGCATACTGCAAAAATGATATATAGTAACGACAGAAAAGAAAACCGCATGAAGAAACATCTGTAAAAAAAGCTTCCTACCTATTTCCGTCTATATCAAGATGTGAAACTTCCTGCAAAAGTCCATAATAACCCAATCTGTCACAATGAAAGACTATCAAATTATTCACTAAGTTTGTTAAACGACATCCGTCGCTGGTCCAGCCTCCCGTATTGTTCAACGTTTCGTCCCATACTACTGGTCTCGGTCTTCTTCCGTTGTAATGATACAACGGTGCTTTCAACATGATGTAAACCGGTTCAGAGAGATTTCGTATCGATGCGCCCACTGTGAAAAATTGTTATGTAAAGAAACTTACACATACATTCATGCAAGTCATGAATATATAAATCATCGCATAGTATGATTTCTGACTTACTTAATTTACTGCCAACAATACATGTTGATATGTCCATGCTATCATTTGAAATCGTCTTGGGAAATAATCTGCTATCACTGTACATAGATATCATTAGCTGTTGAGCTATCGTATTATCCTGCGAGCGTTGCAGCAAAGAGGCAGGCAATCGAATGGAAGCTTCTATCGTCTTGTCTTTTGCATTGATCGGCGTTGTTTTATTAATCGTTGTACAGTGCAAAAATCTCGCGTCTGAATCGGTACTCACGGCAATATTTGTGTACCATGTGCATGTTAATCCGCCAAAACTTTCGCGTTTAATACGAAATTCTTCGAGTGCCATGTGTTTTGTATGAGATTGTATCGACGGTGTAAATTCCGCTATACGTTCGATCGCTTTGATTAGTCTCGTACAAGCTTTGAAATTTATTTCCGCTCTCTTTAGCATTTCTTTTGACAATTTCATCATTGAAGCGATGATATCGATCAGCATGAGGCCGAGTTCCTTTTCGTCTATCAGGAAGCTTAAATAATTCTCTATAGTTCGTACTATGAAATGTATTTCAACTGGATCTGTTAATTTTACCGAACCGTTTCCCGTGTAATTCTTGAATCTCTTTGCAGTTTCCAGCAGAGTACTTCTCGCCAAGGATAGATTTACTCTCGAAAATTGTTCCAAAATTTTCGTTGTATGGGATACGTACGGACATGATTCCGTGTTTAAGTGTTCCCACTGACCACTCACATTACAGTAATAAGAGGCTGTTAAAGATGCTTGCAACAAACGACTGCCTTCGCATGGCAATTCCGCTTTCCATCCAACTATCGTTTTCGGCCATGTATAAATGCCCTTGTTGTTTCTTGTTACTGAAAAAAAGAGATTTATGATATTCTTGATTTTCTTATGTTACAAATCAATTCATTACCTGCTAGAGGACAATAACGTGTATGCTCGGATATCACAATTACACTGACTGCCTTGGATTTGTTGCCGTTTACGGAAACCAGTAAGCAATTCCATTGTCCATTGTGTTCCTCTTTAACCGGAACTATACTAAGAGCACTAAAAAAATGCAAAAGATGTAGATATTCAATAGATATTCATGTATGATACTTTAGGATAATCTGAAAAATTCTGTATTACCTGTCCACAATACCGCTGTCCGAAAGATACCTGTTGTCAATTTTAATGTTAGATAAACTTTTTCGCGGATCTTTATAAGCGCTCAGGTCCACAATCTCGGCGGAAGCATTAGGATACCATAACCAATTTAATCTAGCACTTTGATCTACTGTAATGCTGGGAGCTCTGCATTTTAAGGTAATCGAATCTCCAGCAAAAACCACTTGATTTTGAACTGGCCGAATTTCAATTGCCGGTGATATCAATTGACATTGAAGCTCTTCTAAAAATTTTAATTTTTTCACAGGTTGTCCTTTGGCAAGTACAGGCGATGCGCACTTTGGCGGCGGACTGAAATATTAAATTTAATGTAAAGATTATTAATATAAGTACATCACAATGATTTGAATGGAATATATATTACTTCAATTTAATTGTAGAATTGGAGATCCAATTACTAAACCAATATAGGTGACAATCACAGTTCCAGGGATTATTAGACAGATCTCTGAAATACAAATTACATTCTAAATTTGATGTAAATTATTATAATGAATGCAATATATACAAATTGGTTTACTAACAGTTGTTTTAAGGTCTTAAGTCCATGAAATGTTCCTTCTTTCAAGGTAGTTAAACTATTTCCATTTAATTTCCTAAAATGTAATAACATAAATTTATGTGATATAGCAAAATATTTTTCTACACAATAATATAGAATAGTTTTTATAATATAATAAAAACGCGCACTTTGAAAAGCCACTATCAAAACTAATATATACTACCATAAATAAATTCACGCTTATTAACTTACAAACGATCTAAAGCCAGCAAATTATGAAATAAGGATGGCACCAGAGCAGTTATTTTATTCCCAGACAAATCACTAGAGCAATAAAGCAAAAAGTGCATAAGATAAAAAGAAATATCTTGATAAAAAGAACACTTATATGCCAACATTTTTATATGTAGTAGACTTACAGCTTTTTGAGATTTAATAATTTTTTGAATGCATAACTATCTATTGTTGATATCTGATTCTGACTCAAATCTCTGAAAACATACATTTTATGAGATTAAAGAAAATTAAAGCAAACTAGCAACAATAAGTATATGACTTCTTACAATCTCTCCAAATTTTCTAGACCATTAAAACAACCCTCGCCTATAGAATTAATTTTGTTTTTTGATAAATCAAGTCGTCTGAGGTTTGTTAAATTTACAAACACATTTGCTTGAATGACATAAATGGCATTTTTACTTAAGTCTCTGCAATTAAAGAGAAAAAAATTCAGTTATTGTTACAAGTTATTATTACTAAAGATACATATGTAAAATAGAAGCTTATACAATTGTATAAGTTCCACGCTGACTGCATTGATATCCACATCATTGATTTCTTGTAAACGATCATCGCATTTAAGACGTAACCATTCGGCTTGAGCACCAATTGGCTTACAGGAACAATGTTGTGGACACAGTTGAACTGTTGCACTGATCCATGTTTGGAGCAATATTATGAATAAAAAAGTGGCTTTCATGATTAGAGGCAGATGGACCTTTGACCTAGAAAATATAAAAATTTCTGTATTCTGAAACTCTAAAAATAAATAAAAGTTACACATTCAATTGCCATTCAAAATATTCTAATATTATCTTCAAACTCTATTTATCGCGATCAATAATTGTATCACCAAGATACTAGAATATTTTTTGATGAAAACAACAATTAAGTGAGATTATATGAAAAAAATTAAATGGAATATCACACACAGACTTTTGTGAAAATATTGTGGGTCGTTAAAGTGATTTTTTCACAAAATTAACGATGATGTAAGGAATAAATGTATTCTAAAGGTACTCACAGTCCAATCAAGGATCTTGACTCTCACATTATCAAAGAGCAGATTTTAAATAGCCGCATTTTATTTATGCAGTTTATATATTATTGATGCTACGCTAACCAAGAAAGATTGGAGTAAAGAGGAGAATCTGACACATATATACGTCGATCACAACGCTATCTATCCAGGATGACCAATACTTGATCAATATTACCGATTAGCGTGTCGATGTGTCGACAGTGAGACGCGTTCAAAAGCTTGATTCGCTTGATTCTAATAATCGACATAATTCCACCAAATATATTAAGCAACAATTGTAACCTTGCGATGTAGTGTTTAACATTTTTACAGAATTTTATCACAGTAAGTATTCCTCGAAAAAAAGATTATTCTTTCGACATGTGTGGAGTCATTTTCGGTTACGTGTTTGAAATTCAAATTTATGTTCATATGCATATGTTCAAATATTCTGAAGAATATCGTTAGTGTTCATCAATAAGATAAAATATCTAAAAGATTTATTAAATTTTAGAACACAAAATGTAACACTTACGAGACAGAAAAGGAAAGGATATATTTTACATGGATGCAAATTGTCAGAAGAGTCATGTGTGCCCGCCAAATCACGGACAACATGGGAAACAGATTTCAGAATAATTCTGTGAGTATAAAAAATAATTTTATTATCAGAATATTTTCATTGATTTAAAATGTTAAAAAGAATGATGGAATAAATGCAAAAAAGGAATATAGAGGATTTTAAATTTAAAATATTTTTTAACTTTTTGTTTAAAAATTCCATAAATCAAATATTAAATCTTTAAAAAATCTTTGACTTTATATAATTAACCGAAATGTATATTTAATTTATCATATAAAATGTATATTTATGTATATTTGTATATATGAAATGTATATTTGAAAATGCAATATAAATGTTATACACAAGTTCCATTCTAAATAATTACATATAATTATATGAGCTAGCGATATAAAACTAAACTTGCGATATAAAATCGCCGTTTGTTCATCATTAGTGAGACAAAGCCAAGCGCAATTGATTATCTGTTCTTGTCTGACTTTGCCATGTCACTTAGTTTAGATATGAACCATAGCACAGACACGAACCATATATTGTTACCGAGCGAAACGGACATAGTTCACATCCAATTTCTCAGGCGGCGCCATTAGGTTTTCAGGCTTCTCTCTGATACACATATACTACATATATACATCAGATTTGTTTTATAAACTGCAAAATATTTCAAGATGTCAATCGAGATTGAGTCTGCCGAGTGAGTAAAATTATATTTTTCTCTTCTTTTGTCTTTACTTAGTCCGATTATTGTAAAGTAATACGATGTCTGTGAACTGTGCGATATATAATAACCTCATTACATTTCAGTGTGATCCGTTTGATACAACAATATCTTAAGGAAGCAAATCTCGTGAAGACATTGCAAACTTTACAGGTATTTAGACACTTTAGCTTGTAGCCAGATATTTAAATTACTTGCTTTCTAACAAATTTTATATGCAGGAGGAAACAGGTGTATCGCTGAATACTGTTGACAGCGTAGATGGATTTGTTGCTGATATAAATAATGGCCATTGGGACACAGTTTTGAAAGCTATACAGTCTTTAAAACTACCTGATAAGAAACTTATAGACTTGTATGAACAGGTAAATATCTTTAAATTAGGAACATGCATTGAAAGTTGACATGAATTTTTATAAAAGTAAAGTGTATATTTTTTACTTAAAAGTACAATTTTTAACATTCTTTAAAATATTTAATTATAATGTATAAATTTTTTCTCTAAATTTTTAAAAAAATGTTCTATAAATGTATAAGGAATATAACATTTTATTTTTATGAAATAATTTTTATGAAATAATTCATGGATTTATTGTTTTTTTAGGTGGTTCTAGAATTAATTGAACTACGGGAACTAGGTGCAGCACGATCTTTATTAAGGCAGACTGATCCCATGATTATGATGAAGCAACAAGAGCCTGAGAGATATATTCACTTAGGTATATAATATCATAGGTACACTATATTGTTATAGAAAAAAGCTGTCCTTTTGTAATTATTATAAAATGTTACTTTATCATATTATACATATGTCATGTTATACATTCTTTTACAGAAAATCTACTTGCACGTTCATATTTTGATCCACGTGAAGCGTATCCCGATGGAAGTACAAAAGAAAAGCGAAGAGCTTATATAGCTACTGCTCTCGCTGGTGAAGTATCAGTAGTACCTTCTAGCAGATTGCTTGCTCTATTGGGACAAGCATTGAAATGGCAACAACATCAAGGTCTGTTGCCTCCAGGTACTACAATAGACTTATTTCGCGGAAAAGCGGCAGTTCGAGATCAGGAGGATGAAAAATATCCGACACAGTTGTCAAAACAAATCAAATTCGGTCAAAAGTCACATGTGGAGTGTGCGCGTTTTTCGCCTGACGGTCAGTTCTTGGTGACTGGTTCGGTAGATGGTTTTATTGAAGTATGGAACTTTACAACTGGTAAAATTAGAAAGGATTTAAAATATCAAGCACAAGACAATTTTATGATGATGGAACAAGCAGTGTTGTCAATGTCATTTAGTCGTGACAGCGAGATGCTGGCGGGCGGTGGTCAAGACGGTAAAATTAAAGTCTGGAAAGTGCAAAACGGACAGTGTGCGAGAAGATTCGAAAAGGCACATTCAAAAGGTGTGACCTGCTTGCAATTCAGCAGAGATAACAGTCAAATTTTATCGGCTTCGTTTGACACTACCGTAAGGTAAAATAAAGAAAGAATTAGCAAATATAAACTTCAATGACAACTATATTATTTACATTTACATTTTCATTCTATTTTCTTACAGAATACATGGTCTTAAATCTGGAAAAACTCTCAAAGAATTTCGTGGTCATACTTCATTTGTTAATGAAGTCGTCTTTTCTCCTGATGGCCATAATATAATCAGGTATTATTATCGTAAACATTTATTATAAAAGGAAAATATTTACATCAATTTCTGTAAGTTTAAGTATCATTATTTTTCATATAGTGCATCATCAGATGGAACTGTGAAAATTTGGAGTTTGAAGACTACTGAATGCATAGGAACTTACAAATCATTGGGAGCTGCTGATCTCACAGTAAACAGCATACATCCCCTTCCTCGAAATCCAGAACACTTTGTTGTATGCAATCGTTCTAATACGGTAGTAATTATGAATATGCAAGGGCAAATAGTAAGATCGTTTTCAAGTGGTAAACGAGAGGGAGGTGATTTTGTATGTACGGTAGTGAGCCCGCGTGGCGAATTTATCTATTGTGTTGGTGAGGATCTCGTACTATATTGTTTCTCCACGTCATCAGGAAAACTCGAAAGAACTCTCAATGTAACTATTTTTTCAATGTAAATATTTTGATTAGAATATATATTTCCTTTGTGATTAATGGTATTTGGTTTTGTTTTTAGATACATGAAAAGGATGTGATTGGTCTGGCACATCATCCTCATCAAAATCTGTTATGTTCTTATAGCGAAGATGGACTATTGAAATTATGGAAGCCATAAAAGAATCAAGAAACTCGCCTCTTTTTTATTTAAACATAGAAAACAAGCAGACTACATGTTTTTATATATCGTAATACAACAATCTTGAAAATGGTTATGCTGCAAAGTGAGAATTTGTGCGATCTACTAATTCATCTGTTCTTTCATCATAACGCTGTCATGTCAGGTAATCGAAAAAAAATATATATATATTGTATATACTTAATTTTAACATCTGAACAGAAAAGCAAAGACAACACTGATTATTAAGATTTCCGCTTTTTGGTTTTGTTATAATGAGAAGAGAAAAAGACTCGAAAGATTTTTCATGGAAATATCGTCGATATCGCTGATGCATTGAACGTAACACATTCTCCGCGAGCAATAATAGACATCACGTTCGCCTGTATCTGATCATGCGAACCTAATCGTTACAACGTCGCCGACGTTAGTCGAGGCAGGTAGATAGGATATGGGGTAGGTGGTTGATCGACTCGTTCGGGACTAACAAGTGCGTCTCTCTTTTCGTACCTATCCCGCTATATATCCCTCGTCACGTAGCGCGGGCCCTTGACTGGCGCGCGCTTGAACGTAATTGGGTCCGAGCAAATAAGCAATCACTATATTTCGGCTCGGCAAATATTATAATAACAGACCGGGGTGGGGTTAACCGGGTTATCGGTCGTACGATCGGTGGTCGGCTCAGGCGTCTTAGACAGCGCCAAAACCAGCACCGATCTGCTGCTTCTTTTTGCGCGCGTCTGCTTATAGCCGTTTACCGCGAAAACGCCCTTCGTTAATATCTTTATAAAACCCTACGCGCGGAGAGAAGAGAAAATTCGTATCCGGTCGAGGGATGACGATCAATCAAATCGATATACAAAATTAATCAAACAATTTTATGTGAAGCGGAATTTTCTTTACTCAATATCATATATATTCTGTTTTTGGTATTTTTGATTCGTCTTATCACGCGTTGCAGTTGAATAATTCTAAATCTCATTTATATCTAATTTTTTAAATTTTAAATTTTTTATGTAGGAAAAGCTGATGTGATATTATAATTAACCAAAGTGAGAATCTAATATAAGTCTCTAAGTTTAATTTATAAAATTTCATTTTCAATATTAAATTTTTTTAAAATCTTTTCTAATATTTTTAATAACGAGAAATATTGATTTCACATATTTTATAGTGAACAAATTTTTCCATAACGCATTTTTTTCATTGAGATACGAAGCATTACGTTTCGTTCTTCAGTAGTTTGAGTCCGCCATTTATAATGATATAAGCATGCGAGATCGATGGGATTTTTTTCACAAAGTGGAATTAGAAGACCGCGTGAAAATTCACTGTCGGTCTTTTGTCATATAATCCACATTTTTGGAAACAAATGGACCGGAAAGCCATTCCATTTCCTTTTGATCCCCGCTAATGCGACTTTAATGTCATTGGAAAAGATTTTCACTTTTTCCAGTTTCCTGTCGTATCCCCATGTAGTTAGACCAAGTAGTTGATTCAATAATCGGTTAGATTGTTGGTCTCATCGCCGACTTTTCTTCTTTGTAGTTATATCTGGTACCGCCAATAATTGTCTTTATACATATAAGAAAAATCATTTTTTAATATTATCTACAATTTGCTTACGAAATATAATCTATAATTATATAATTATATGCAATATATGTATATATATATAGTCCAATATATAATATGGTTATATATAACAATAATTGTCATATTATTCGATTTTGATATAATTCTTTGCCTATAAATTGAGCTTAATAAAATATAAATATACATATAAAATATTTTGTCTTTTCACTATTTTTTTTATATTTTATATGATCGGATAATTATATATACACGTATTACAAGATTAATTCGATCAAAAAAAATTTTGATCGAAATTCAAAAGAGACTTGAAATTGATGGATAATCAATGATTTCGTGCGCACGTGACGATTTATCGCGAGAAAGTGTGTGTTTCGATGTCAGATTGATTAGACGCATTACATGCGTCTGCAGGACTGTTTTGTGTTCGAGTAAAACGATGTCCGGTGTAATCATAAGACGATCGACGGTATTTACCGGTTGTAAAGGATTTTCGAGCGAGTGGCCGGGGTCGAATTAACTGTATACTCGGCCGTCACACGCAAAACCAGATGCCACTCTTATAAGCGTCACCGGTACCGTAATCGCGCGCGATGCAGTCTCATAATCGTTACTGCCGTGAGGCTCCTGGCGCATCCGTTAATTATGAATTAATAATAATACGATAATCTCTCCACTGCTCGAATATGTGGGAGGAGAGGCAGGGAAATTGTATACCTGGGGAATTAAACGGAACGATTATGTAACAAAATGCGCGAGAGGCGATGGAGGCAGGTGGAGGCCTGTATAGTAAAGTTTTCTTTAAGGAAGACGGCGAATCCCCATCACGAGGAAGGAACTACGACCGGTTGGTTTTCGGGAAGGAAACTCGCTCCACTAATTTCGCTTCCTCCGATATGATATCGTACAAGAGTGTCGTCAAACCTTATCGGATTCGAGAGCAGCCTTTTAGCTTCGCACACAGCGAGATTTATTTATAATCGTTCTTTTATATTATGTATTCATTTTTATCAGCAATATACAGGTGCTAGGTAAAATTTCGTGACTTATAACGTTCTGGAATTATACAGATAAATCTTCCAGAGGAATTATTTAGGGTACACTTCATCGATGATATGAAGCGGATTAGGAGGCCATGGATCTCTCTCTCTCGGCTCGACTTTTCTCTTTAGCTCTCGTTTCCATATTTCCGGAAGACTCCCCAATTTCGCGATCATAATTTGTTAATAATTGGACATTGGTTGTGGGCCCATGGTAAGAGGGCCTCCTCTCGCTGGCCAACTGGCCCCAGGTGTGTGTACGGGGAGCGTGGCGGACGCGTGCTTCTCCCCTCTTTTAACCTTCGTTTGCAGCCAAACGCGCTCGATTCGATTCGCTCCCTTCTTCTATTTCTCCTCGTTTTCTTCGGCCTCTTTCACCCCGCACTTTTTCTCTCGTCTCTCTGAAGCACCCAATGCTCCCGTCGCGCAATTTTTGACACACGCGTAAATATTAATTCACGAAGGAATAAGAAATAGTGATTAAACGCGAAATGGAATAATCAAAATATAATAATACTACATTATAACTTTTCATATGAGCAAACTGATGGAGTTAAATGATTGAAAATCTAAGGATCTTTCTAGGAACTTAATAGAAATCGAAACAATAAAATCTTTTTTATTTAATCAGTCATTATTGAATATTAAATTATATTAATTGAATATTATCTTAATAAAATTTCGATTTGGAATTATAGAAATAAATTGAATTTAGCGCGATTACTCTGATTTACAAAAGTCGATTGAGAATATCTTAAAAAAGAGAAAGTGCAAGAGAGACACATTATGTAAAAGTCGGCCAATAAGAAAATGACGCTATTCGCTATAAAATAGGCTAATGACAGATCTTTGTTAATTATTATACGACGTGTGGGCGAGACTTTGGCAGACGAGGCGGTTAAATATCATCGTGTGTAGTTGTGCAGTTTCGGGGTATCGCGGCGAGGAGGGATTTGCATTCGCGGAAAGGTGGCAATTACTCGCGCGGAACGGAATATAATGCAATTATCGAATTAACCCTCGCACCCCCACATAATTGCTCGCGACTTCACGATTTAAGTGGATAATCATTGGGAACCGGCTGACCGGGCGAGCGCCGAAATTCGCCGGGAGAGCATCGGAGAATGTGGGGCGGCAGATCTCGAGGCTCGTTGGTGCATCGTGTAATTTACGTACGTTGCACGTACATGCGCATGCATCGTTTGCCCTAATGGCGAGTTTAACGAGTGAACCCCCGCTCTCCTCGGAAGACATTTCTCCATCGATGCGGAAAATTTCTCTAGCTTATCTGTCTTGTTCTTCTTTCGTATCGATCTCTGCCAGCTCGAAAAATCGAATGTGTCATCACGAGAATAAGAAAAAGAATAGATAACTTATTGTGTATGACGTGCGTATAATTCTCTTTCCAAAATTTTCTTCTCCGTTTCGTTATAAAATATTGGTGCCAATTTGCCGTGCTTGCTTATATCGATCGTGGAAGAAATCGATCGGTGAGTGGTAGCGTCGCAAACTCGAGAAGGAATTCTGTTCTCCGATCGAAGCCGGGCTACTCGATCTCACACAGGAGGGTGCCGCATTGTGTTACGTTATAGCCTTCATTTTCACCTTCATCTCTCTTGCGCCTCCCTCGATCTTGCGCGAGCCTCATTGTTTCGCGGTCTGCTGAAAAACCAGTCTATTGTAGCCGATTTCGTCCATTTCAATGCACGAATTTCAAAATAGGGCGCGCCATTGTTTCACTTTTCTTTTGAGTCTATTCTTCTCGGTGCCGGCTAATTTGCTGGCGTTTGCCGACCTGACGACGATTTACGAAACATTTGGGGATCACATCAGTCAGTTTAAAGGAACCTTAAAAATCTCGAACGATGAAAATCACCATTACATTTTGTCAAAATCATCATTAAAATATTTTTTACGGTGTAGAATATAAAATATTCAAAATAAAAACATAATCTACAAATAATGTAATAGAAGTGGAACATTTTGTACATAAATATATAGATAATAGAAATAGAAAACTTTTTTAGATAATTAAATTTATTTTTTTTGTGTAATCTAGGCGTGTCGCAGTATCGTGTGAAACATGATGTTTTTTTTGAATGAAAGCATTCGTAACTGTCTTATACTCTGACTAGGAACTCCAATTCAATCAGGCACTACCCCCTCGTTTCGAAGGGCGCTTCTTCGGCACTTCTTAATCACTAGGCTACTGACGCTTCGAGAACGCTTCGTATTCATTTTACGAAGCCGTGCTTGGGAAAATTCTGCGTCGCAACAGTACCACATCGATCCTCATCTTCCCCTTCCGGCTTGCCTATTCTCGATATATTGAAAATGCTCGAAGAAAAAAATTATTCAAGCTTTAATATATTTTTCTTTTTTAAAGAAAAATATTTCCTGTTTCTTTGTTTCTCAAATCATAAAAATTATTTAAAATTAATTAATAATTTTTCTAACAAGTATTGATTTATCTTCTTCTCTAGAATCTCAGATAGATTTTCTTCTCATTTATTTCTCTTTGGCAGTCGTGCATAAACAAGGCCAGTGGTTTTCTCAAGCCGCATTACAAATCACCGAAATGGCCTCTGGGGCCACCACGATTCCCGGAGTCCTTTTTCAACGGCGGTCCCTCGAAAGTTCTGAAAATCAATTTTTTTCCTCGGGGCGTCAATTAAGCGGAATTTTTCCGTCTTCGACGTAGGTCCAGACAAGAAAGCGCAACGACTTCGGTTTTTAAAAGCCTTAATCGTCTCCCTGTTTCCATCAACGATTGCAATTTTCAGATTTTCAGCTACTGCAACCTCGTCCCCTCGAGGGTCATTCGTCTAGGTGTTAATCTCTCTAGAAAGGACGTGACTCGGCAATAGTTTTCTCAAACGAGTGGCAATAGTAACAACAGCAGAACAAATATTTAGGTATCGCCGGTTATACTAGTCGACATTTCTTGCATTTTATTCCTAATCGAATTAATGTTATTGAGATTATTAAGGGATGTGAATAATATCATAAAAAATTAAGAAAAACATTCTCTGTTTGTTTTTAACATTATATAAACTGTTATTCTAATAGTAAGTATATGTGAAATGCTGGGATTGATAAAGAAATATATACTTGCAGCAACTAGTATACAAGTTTAAATCACAACTTCGATCGCTGGATCGATGATTAATATGCGAAGTAAAGTAGGAATATCGGTAACCCGGCGGAAGAAGTTTCTCGCGAAGATCTTTATTTCATCTTTTGATTATACACTTGATCCTGAGTATATAATCGGCTTACGCATGTTCGCAGTTAGCTCAATCGAACACACACGAAAGAAGGGTCGATTCAAAATTTTCTTTCTCT